GTCCAAGTTTGCTGAACCCAATGGCGCTGAAACCATGGCGTTTCCGGAGTGAGTAGTGCAGGGTTCTCGTTTTGGAGCGTGGACTGTGCCGGGTCACGATCGTTCGCCAGTGACAGGGCCGCGCAGAGGCTGTAGCTACGTTTAGTTAGATGTGTATGGCAGCACCCACCCCACCCACCCCCCAAGCCTAGGACAATCTATTAAGATCCCAACCGAAGCTACCACCATAGAATATCCACTCCAAGATCCCAACCTCATTCTATGTCTTGGGAATGGTGGATGTTACGTGGGGTGGGGCTAAGTGGTGCCATAAAACTCGTTTTGGGCGCCGTTGCGTGAACATCATCTGCGCAACGACTTGCCGCACCCATCTGCCATGTTAGGGATGTCGGAAGTCTGGCCTTGCGATCTAAATCCTCAACCCTAAACTTGCACAGGTCCCCGACTCCTCACACCCACAAGACTGCCAAACAGGAAATTCCACAAACCCGGCACCTTTGGAGCCAGTTTAGGGTTTAGGGCTTAGGGTTTTTTCCCCACCCATGTCGCAAGCGTTTACCGGGAAAAGGTCAGACAAACCTATGGCCAAAGTTCAGGGTTTAGGGTTTCGACTCTCACACTGGCGCTGGCAAGGCTCCGGTAGTATCCAGTCAAAATTCAACCACAACTCATTGGAAGCGGCCCTAGGGTTTACTTTTTCGCTCTGGGCGATGGCTGTTGACTTGTCTCCCGCCTTGACTCCCATACTTGGAGATCCTGAGCAGAGATTCAGGATGCAGGATTCTTTGCTCAGCTTTATCGTGAGTTTTTGAATCTGTTCTATGTTGTCACTACGATTTTGCTGCAGGCACTGTGAATATTAATATACCTATATATATATATAATATGGACCCATAAACATATAAATATATATATATATGTATGTATGTATGTATGTATGTATGTGTGGGGAGGGGGTGCACATCAAAACCACGCCATAGACACAGCTGCTCACCCCTCTTCGACAGGAACAACTTCCACATGCAACATGCAGCGCAGCCTCTGGGTTTAGGGTTTCGGGTTTAGGGTTTTTGGGTTTAGGGTTTAGGGTTCTGGGGCGCTTGCCGGGGATGGCCCCATCTGGCTGCGCCCGGCGGCATAGCCATGCGGAGTCTCAGCACCCTCTCTACCCTAAACCCTAAACCCGATGACCTAAACCCTAAACCCTACCCTAAACCCTCAACCCTCAACCCTCAACCCTCAACCCTCAACCCTAAACCCTAAGCCCTAAGCCCTAAGCCCTAAACCCTAAACCATGGCCTGAGAGGAGAAACAGAAACCATATGCCATTCTGCACCAGTTTGACGCTATAAGCCGTTAAGTTTACATGTTGCATATGGGCTCCATAGTATGTCAAGGAAGCTTGGTGCCAAGGCTAGGGGAACAAAGTATTCACATAGTGGGACCTTTGTAATATACACCTGATACTCCCCAGTAATACAGTAGGGTCGGAGCCCGGACGGCTATGCGGTCCCTAGAGAGCATGGACTCTTGGGACGGTGATTCAAGATTTTCAAGATTGAAGAGCTTGGGATCCCCAATGTCAGATGGTTCCGAAGCTCATCAGATGCTTGCAAGTAGAGTACAGGTGATAGGCGCGTCCGGCACCATCAATCAGGCCGAAACCCCGCTGCTCCATTCCAAGATCCATCTTCTCGGGCGGGAGCCGAGATTAGCATCTTTTCCATGTCAGATTGGGCTTGGGATTTCGGAGATACACGGCACCATGGAATCGCCTAGAAGGGAACTCAAGCCCTGAGCCTCATAACCACAGCCCAGATTCCCGAATCGCACATCAAGCCTCGCACCCCAAAATCCTGACTACATCCATACAGCATCTCCCAGAATCACCAAAACCTCAGTCGAAGATCGCCGAAGATCCCGACTCTCGACTCAGACTTTCCCTCAGGTGCCGAGCCAGCATCCCCACCAGGGTCTGACCGCATTGAGCCCTCGTTTTCATGACGGCTGAGCGGGATAGCGATGCGTTCAAGCACGGTTGTGCATGGTTTCACCAAACTCAGCACTTCTCTGTTGAATTCGGTGTCTTCATAGCAGCACTGCTCCAGCGGCATGCGCTCCGAAAGGGCAGTATCAGTCCCAAACGAAAGGCATCCCGAAGAAGGGTCGGGTAGGTCATAAACCCCTGATGCTAAACGCAACTGACCCCGGCCTCGCTGACGATGCCCGGGCTGGGTGATCGGACAGGCCCTGCATTGCGGATCGCAGTGCGATGCAAAACAAAGCTCCGGGTAAACGTAAACTCAGCTCGTGGTTTCAGACCAAAAGCGTGACTACGTGTACCTAGACAGAATGATCCGCGCCTTTGTCTGGCACCACCCAGCCCAAGACACAGGATTAAAATCTACCTTAAGATCTCAGCCCCAATACTAGGATAATCCACCCCAAGATCCCAACCCCAAGTTACCATCCAGAGCTGGTCTCCCTCGCCTGGAGGCAGCGCACCAGGCGGCAACGGCCTCTGGAACCGTATGAGGCCTTGAATCCTTGAAGCCCCACATGTCACTGGCAGTAAAGTGGGATTTCAAGTCCAAGCAGATCACGGGAGCCTGCATGGTGGTCCATACGGACATGTGTATGTGCAGTAAGTGTCCCGGAAATCCTCACATCCCAACAATTTTCAGCCGCTTAACCATCTCCCCAAAAGTGCCCTTGAGAGTCCAGCGATTCCGAGCAACTGAGGTTGAGGCAGCGTCTGCGCTGGTATGCGGGGCACTGAAGCCTTCGGCTGCCTCAGGGGGTAGGGGCAATCCCCACATCTCAAGCTCAACCGTTCTGCACCCATTTACCATGTCTAGGCTCACAGGTGCCTCACAAGACAACTATACGAAGCCAGGGCCGAGACAAGACCTGCTCATACCGAGGCAACGGAACCGGGGACTGGAGCTCCTGACTTGAATGCTTCAGTCATGAAACCACCTCTGTTTTGATGGCTGACTCAAACATGATGCAGCGATGCACAATCACTGCTTGAGCTACATCGACTCTTGCGATGTCGAGCCGCAGCTTCGGGTTCTGGGACAGGGCTTTGACTCTGCGAGGCTGACACGCACGCGCACACACACACACACACACACATGCGCAAGAAACGCAGATTCTGGATGTGAAAAGTCATCCCTGGTTGATCCCCCAATCCCTGCCCCCACTGCGATTTCGCGTGGCTCCGGCGCAGGATGCTCATGAGATGGAGAATTTGGACTCCACCTTTCAGCTTTGGAGGGCGTAGGTGGGATTGGGTGGGGAGGGGGGCATGGGTCGTCCTGGCAGGGCTCAGGTTTAGGGAGATTAAGGGTGCGGAGACGTGGGGTTCAAAGCTTGATTCAAGGAGCCTCTAAGATGCGGTTAACGACCTTTGAGCTGGGGCCCTGACGTCTGGGGTTGGTGCCAAAGCTGCTGTGGCTGCGGGGAGTAGGGGTAAACAGGATACTGTTGTGGCTGTGGCTGCTGTGGTAGGAGGTGCGAAACGGGCGCAGAATGCACCGGAGAGGGGAAGCTGGGTGTGGTCGGCTGTGTTGACAAGGGTGGCGGTGGCGATAAGATGGGGAGATGGTGAGCCTGCGAGAATTGTGCTAAAGGCGGCACACGCTGTGAAGCTTCAGGCAGCGAAGGTGGTGGGGTTGGCGGATTGGGAGCCGGGGGACCCTGGATCAGTTGCTGCAGCAGCAAAGGGCTTCCCGACGTAAGGGGCCCTGGGTGCTGGTACTCCGGTGAATATGGAAGGGGTGATGACTCTCGCTCGGGTGTTCTGCTTGGGCTGGCAAGAACCTCCACGTCGGGCACAAACCCAGTCCTTGCACCAGGCTGGTCGCAAGCAAGAATGACTTGGTAGCTTCCAGGAAGGAAACGGAATTTACGGAAGTCACTGCACTAGCATCTATGAAAGTCACACGACTTTGGCAGGCTAATTGTGCCTCGTGTCGCACTCCCTGCGAGTGATGGGAAATCTGTCGGATCAGCAGCAACTTGCTTTGGAACTGTGGCCCAGCCCTGAAATTCCAACCGAGAGGCTCGACGTAGTCCACTGGATCACCCTCTGCTTCTTCGTCCTCTTCCTCCTTCACACATTTTGTCAGGCGGGATGTGCATGTCGTGTTTTACGCTAAAGCTGACATACCACACTGCAAAAGGGGTAGGCCCACTCAATGAAGCTCCACTTGCGCTCCATGTCAAACCCATGAGCTCTGCAGCTATCCCACGAACAACACCTTTTTGCGCTGAGCTGAGATGTAGGGCTACTTGCCTTCTGCCCTGCGAGACCCTCCCGACCTGCATAGTTATTGAGTTTCATACCCCCCCCCCTCCTGAATGCTTAGCGGCTTAGCCTCAACATCGGTTCTTCGAGAGTCCAGAGGTGAAACGGCGGGCCACTAAAATCCTACCAAAACGCACATAATTGATTCACTTGATCCCGTGAGTTTTGCCAGCTTGCAGGCGCTAGCGGCGAACCATGCGGCGCAGGCTCACGCTGCCGGGGCGTGTGACAGCCTCCGACTAGGTCTTTTGGGATTTCCGAAACTCGGGGGCACCTTATTGGCTTATTGGGGGTCCTTGTTACAAGGGATCCTACTATTTGGGGGGGGTCTATTTTAGGGTCCCGTATTTCGTAAACCCCCTTATGGGTGCTGCAGAGGCTTTGAAGTGTGCCCCATGCTCTTGTCCTGACCGGGATGTTGTTCTGGGCCTTGATCTAAATTTAACCCGAGGATTTTAGACAGAGTTGCCCACCCTCTCGGACATGTTGTTTTGAACCTTTTCGCAATTAGCGAATCCCTGCAAACATGGAGACATTGAAATTGGCCTTCAGCATTGGAAACTGGAAACGATGACACATGAATGATTGCAGGAACGAAATTGGAACTTGTACCTAGATAACTGTGCCGCGTTGTAACTCGCACATCACGATGACATTGGCCGATGGCCACTCAATGCAGCTCTGCTGGTCAACCTATCGCCTCAAGCGATGAGCTGCCGAGCTGACTGACCTCTTTCTCCACATACGGATAGCCCTTCCGTTGGAGCCACGCTACTTCCGCTTTTTGCGAGTTGCCTAAGCCTTCTGATTCCTCCAGAAACTGCCGGTCTTCCTCGGGAAGCCAAGCCAAGAAAAGACGGCGTTCCTCCCGGGAAAAGGGTGAGGAGGAATCCGGGCATTCCTCCTTCGAAAGACGATGGAGGCCGGCATCACAGGCATCCTGAAAATCTGCGGACTCCTTCCAGTCAGCTTTGCGTTTGGAGATCGTTTCACGGCGCAGATGTTCTGCTCCGGCTGTGGTGAAATCCTTCACCTTGCCAAGACCTTTCTTCCCATTGAAGTAGTACACATCAAGGGTGGCATTCTGTTTGACTGCCAGCTCGATGTTGGCGATCCATTTGGACCACCACCTACATCCCCATGGCTTCTTTTCACCATACAGGGGAATGCACCAGCATTCGCCCTGCAAGTCCTGCAATTCCTCTTGCGGAATGGGGTCATGCAACCCGAAGTGCTTGGAGCCTTCGGGCAGAAACACGACGGCGGCGCTGATGTCGCTCTGTCGAGCTCCGGCCACCAGCTCATCCCAGGCGGACGCATACTTGCCAGGCCAGGAGCAAACAGTCTCCCGGCCTGGGAGCACATTCCCCTCGAACACAATTGTGTGTTCGTGGGTGGTGTGGACAGCCGCATCCAGCGACTTTTTCGGGGGCTGAAGCAGGAATTGCGTAAGGCGAGCACCGCGCTTGTTTAGGAGCAGAATTGGCCAGAAGAAGGGAAAGAAGAAAAAGCCGATCAAAAATGTTTCGGCTGTCTTTCTCCAGTGTGTGGGTTTCGAATCGATGCAGAAGACGACCCCGCCGGAACACATCAGCAGAGACACCCCGCCCCACAGGGTGCCCACGGCCGAGCCCTGCCCTTTTAGGCCAGCCACGGTCATGGCGACGACGCCGGCGACGCTGATCAAGGCGACGCAGCACCAGCAGCCCCCGAAGGTCAGCACGCAGTCGCCACCGGCTTCAACAGCGGCATCGTAGTCCTGGAGCTCCGGCCGTGCTGCCTGGACCCCGTTCTGCAGCTCTTCCGTGTAGCGGCCAACGCCTAAGGCAGCTCCGAGCCCGACGAGTCCGCCACAGGCACAGCACGACAGCGCCAGCAGCGCCGCAGCGAGGCCCACGCCTTGCAGCTGATTCTGCTCATCGAAGGAGGCCACAGTGCTGTAGACCATGGCGCCCAGGATGACGGACATGAAGATCGAGATGCTGACGAAGACCAACTTTTGCTTCCGAAGAGCTGCTCTGTTTACTTCTGTAGAATAGTGAGCATCGATCCCTTCCTTCCGCTCCTTCCGCAGACGACTTTCCTCTGCTGCTGCAGCTTCTTCCCTGCGGCTGAACCTTTCGGCTTCTGCACCGAAATCGCCAAAGCCATCGGATAGCCGCAAGTGGGCACCGCTCGTTGCGTTGCAGAAGCTGCAAACTTTGGCATCATCTCGCAACCGCACTGACACTTCGAGGCCAGCAACTGCAGACTGGATACTTGATTTGGGGTAGAGGGGCTGCCAGCCCTTCCCTGACCCCAAATCAACTTCAACTGCCACTGCAAGATCATTCAAGATTGTGCAAATCTCTGGCTCGTCGGCCGCCTGCGCTGCCTGTCTTTCTAAATCATTCTCCTCTGGCTCGCCGCCCTTCACAGCTTGTGCTGCCTCCCTTGAACTCTCCTCCTCTCGAATCTCGCCAGGACAGCTCTCAGGAGGACTCAGGGATGCCATGGCATTCACATCTCAGACTCCACCACTGTTTGGCAGAGCTCTTTCTGATCAGCGGTACTGTTTGTACATGTGGGCATTTTGTGGGTCTTCACCTTAACAATCATGCCTTTAAGCTGGGCCCACTGGAGCTTGGACCGAGGGACAACGACAAGCGGACAAGCGGTTCCCATGCCCGTGGAATGCTAAACAGCTGGGTTTCCGGCAGCTCTTCCTCTCAAAAGCGCAGCAGAATCTAAATAACCATGATCTATTCTCCATATTTATGTCATTTTATGTCTGTATCTAAATAAGTAGATACTCCCAAACGCGGAAGTCCTTGCAAACATGGTTTTTTGTAGAGATCCCTAATGAACACGGCGCAACGAGGGGGTCGCGGCAGGGTCCTTGCAATCACCTTTTGCTGCAAGGAACAGCGGTCCCCAACAAGCCATGAAGCAGATCATTCAGAGAGGCATTTGGCGCTCGATCCCCAAGGAACAGCACGTACTTTCAGTGCATTTCAGTTTTTCCTACATTGCTTTCGGATCTTTTCTCTGGTCGGGACGATACCTCTCGCAATTGACTTTTTGTATATGGACGATATCTGCGAGCGTAGTTTGAAGGCATCTGACCATAGTATAACATTGTTTCCGGAAAATGTTCACTGGTCGGGACGATACCTGTCACAATTGACTTTTTGTATAAGGACGATACCTGCGAGTGTACTTTGAAGGCGTCCTGTGCTTTCTGTTCAGTCATGATAGCTGTGGTTCATCTGCGTGCACCAGATTCTAGGAATCTGCTTGACCCAGCTTGTTCTCCCGTCTTTGTCGGGATAGCTGAGTCATGTTGAGCCACTTGTGATATAATTCAAGGTTTTACATGGCTGCGCGCGTTCTCTTGCGATTTACGAATAGGCACGACTTTCTTATGATCCTTTCCCGCTCTTGTTTATAGCAAACTAGCACGGACTTCTCATGTAAATCCCCATGTAGACACCCCAAACGCAACGACCCCCCGAAACACTCTCCCGCAATGTCTGCTGGTCACATGTAAGAAACGCAACGACTTTAGCAGTTGGGAGTAGATACAGACATATACATGTACAAAACATGTAAGGCGCACGTCTGCCTCCCTAGATACATAGGTAGACATATATTATCCAGTAACATCCAGGATTCCTTCAAAGGCATGATCTGTAGGGGCCCCAAGACTCGTCACCAAGTGAAAAATGAACCGGAAGCGGCCATCGGACTGGAGGGGCTTGCCGGGCCCTCTGTGCGAGGCGGATCCCTGCAAGATCGCATGCTCGCAGCCAAAATCCTCTCAGCTCCCGGCTGGCTCCTTCCGCTTGGGAGCGGCCTTTTCCCGCCCGCCACCATTCTTGCCTGCATGGGAAGGCGTCCCACACTAACGCAAGCCTTCTAGGTCCCTCTCCGGGGGGGATCCTTGGAAGGCTGTGCTGTTTGGGGGTTTACAATGGTATATCCTGATGCTGGGACCCTTGGGACCCTGATGTTGGGAAGCTCCCTTAAAAGCTTCTTGGTTTCCTTTGCGCAGGGCCTGCCTTTTGAAAACTTGGTCTGCGGCCGGGCGTTCCGATCCTGGGCTTGCAAAACCATGGCTGGAGGCTTCGGGAGAGGCTTTTGCAGACTCCACTCCCAAAGCCCACAACCACACATTCTTGAACAGAGAAAAAGAAAGAGAGAGAGAGAGAGAGAGAGACAGAGAGAAAAACGGCATGACAGCACCTCTCACACTACTTCTACCTGGGCCACATGCGCCGACCTTCTATTTCATGATCCGACAAAGTGTTCTTGTTTTCCCCTGGGACCCTCCCACAAAAACCTTGCATTGCAGGCCACCAGTCCAGAGACGTCCGGTTGGCCTGGAATCGTCTTTGAGGGTTCACGCCTCACCTAGGCCTTCTCGCCAGCGAACTTGCTAGCAAAATGCTTTCAGAATGGTGGGTTGGTGGCTTGTCAGAGCTGGAGGCACGCCAACGCTGAAGCACAAGCACGGAAAACATTCCATGAAATCTCCAAAGATACCATCCCTAATTACCATGCCTGCTTGCTTGGCCCGCCGGCGTTCGGACTTCTCGCGCGCTTTTGTCTCCTGCCGCATTCTTAGACGACGCCTGCCTCGGAGTTGGTACAGGGTTTCGGGTTTCTCCAATCCCTGACCTTGGGTAGGGGAATGGGGTTGCGGCCACGGCGCCCCAATAAGGCCAAGTAGGAACTACCATGGGCTCTTGGGCCTCACAGGAGGTTGAGGGCAGCACCTCCCCCGGCATGATGGCAATGACTGACCTGAAAGAAAATGGGTCACTCGAATCCCTTCCCTGGCCAATGCTCCTTGATCTCCTCCCGCGTCATGCCATACCTGCTTAGAAGGCTCAGGGCTGACCACTAAGCCCTCCAAAGCATCCCCAAGAACCTTTCTTCCCCTTATAGGCTGTTGAAGAGACCAGAGACCAGCTCCGATGGGCTGCAGAAAAAGCTCATGAAACCTTTGCGCGCGCCCTTCTGAGATGCATCCTGAACCTGCAGTTGGGAGGCCATCGATGCTTCTTGCCCCGTTGACGGGGTGGCGCGGATGGTTCCTGCAGGGGCGAGGTGGGGATTTTTGGAGCAGCAATGAATTTGACACGCATTCCGGTTTCAGGGCAGGCAAGGATGTGTGTTGAGCAGTCTTCCAATGCCGACCAGAATGCCATTCAAGGCTGAAATTAGATTTCCAAGCATGGCTCACAGCAGTCTCTGGCAAAGCCGTGGGTCCGGCCGACTGTTCGTTACTGGAGTGCGAATTCAACTCCCGGGAACTGCTCAATGTCACATAGGGGCTAAGTACAAGTAACTTGGCGACCCAGCTGCAATGAGCACAATGATGACGAGTCTGTTGTATTGACAGCCAAGATCAAGGCGTCGAGCAGGATGCCGTCTGAACCCTGAACCCCCCCCACCTCTTCTCGCATCACAGCATCCACGGCGGGCCCCTTGGGTTCCGGGAACCGGGACATGTCCTGAGCAGGACAATGCTCCGTGCCTCCATCCTTCTGCCATTGTTACATGTGTTTGCCGCACGCCATCGTGGTATATACATGTGTATATATATATATATATACATATACATATTCACAAACATATATATATATATATATATGTGTGTGTGTGTGTGTGTGTGTGAATAGCGCTGCAAAGTTGGGATTGTGGACTTCGGCTTTCATGTTTAACCTTTACTGCACTGGCCCGACGTTGCAGTACGTACGACCTGCGTCCAGGTCATGTCGGGTCTACCCAGTCAGAGCCCTGGCCCTGGACTTCAAAGCACAGGAAAACACAAACATGAACATGAAACCGATCGATCTCGAAGACGCCCCCCAAGCAGCTTCACAGCCCCGGCAACTACGACAATTGGCTTGCCCTGTTTCGACTGCATCAGACCAGTCATCACCGAAGGGATCGCCTCAGCATGAAGCATTCAAGCTTTGAGTTCAGGGAGACACTCTGAAAACTGAGTCAGGATGGCTCAGGGTGAAACGGGCTGCATCGTTATAAGGGCACAGCTGTGTGTGCAACGATGGAATCTTTGAGTTTCGAAACGGCACCTACCAGGACCTACCAGTATCTATCACCACTGATGCAACAAGCCGAGATCACATCGCCACAGCTGAGACATTTATGTTCAAACACATACTTAAATGCCTAGAACCCAGCAGCCTCAGTTGGACCCGAGGAATTTGCGCGTCCTCCCTTCTCAATAATAACCCGCTGTAAGCCCGCCTTCGAACGGCTCATCGGAGGCGGCAGGGGCAAACTCGGGCATTGGGCCACTGTAAGCTGCTTCCTGCGAGACACTTCAAAGGGTATTCACTCTCTCCGGGTGCTTTTCATGTAGGGGAGGGGATGATGAATGATTAAGGTTGATGTGGCACATCTTGCGGTCGTCAGAATGTGTAATTTTAGGACCAGAATTTGTGCAAGCCAGGCAAGCTTTCTGCTACTTTTATGGACTTGGTGAAGGGAGACGCCTCCATTTTCCTTGTGGCAATCCGGAGACCCCAAACCGCCATTTTTGTCTTGAAGTCCGAACGATGCGCCTCGTCGAAGTCGTCTAGGGGCAAGTAGCCATCATCGAGGTCGTGCACTGGCACCTGGTCGCAGACACAAGTCACGGGCATCAGCATCGTTTTGCCTCCTACCTCAGGGTGCATAGACTCCAGCATAGACTGTGCCACACTGTGCAAATGACGAAGGGTCTGAGGGAAGCCTCTGGCACGGGATGATGACACCACTACCAACCGGATCATGTCAGGATTCGTCAACATTGCATGCTGCCTGCTGCCTGCTGCCTGCTGCTTCCCTGCGGTACATGCCTCCACAGTGCCTACAGTGACTACAGTGACGACAGTCACTGTGCAGCCCTAAACCCTTTTTGACCCCGCGAGCTCAGCCCTAAACCCTAAACCCTAAACCCTAAACCCTAAACCCTAAACCCAGCGACTGAAGTGGTTGTGGTGGGCAAGGCTGTGCCTCGAACTGCGAGGTGGCGGAGCGGAGCGCCTCGGCCTCGAGTCTTTAACCGGCTCCCCAAGGCACAGCAAGGCCGCAGCGACCGGACGTAGACCCCAGCATAGGAAGACAAGGCTATATGTACAAATATATCCATATATGTATCTACCAGTAGTGACTATAGTATCTGGTGACTATAGTATAGTGAGAATAGAGTGAGTCGGCGAGACCACCAAGACCCCAGGCCCGCAAAACTTCGGAGCCTCCTCTGGCGGCATGTCAAGGCCCAGCCGATCAAGTTCCCGATCGAGTTCTCGGGTGCTGTCCTTAACAAGGCGCAGGGCTTTTTTTTGTGACGGGCTCAAAAAGGGATGCCACGGTCACCAGGTCGTTTTGCTGGGAAAACACTGGCCCCTGAACCAAGGAACGATGAGCTTCGGCCTGCGGCGCAGTGTCGAGCTCGGAGCTGCCTGCTTCGACGTTTCGATTCACTTCCTTGGACCCTTAAGGTTGTACCCTTGGGTTTTGGGGACCCATTGTTAAGATCCCTTATTAAGGTAGTATACGGGCCTGTCAACTACTGGATGTCGGCCACTATGCCCCGGTAAGCAAGTAGAGGTCTCCCTGTTGGGGGGTGGACGCATCCCCACTTGCCTCGGGCTTGGTCACAGCCTCTGCAGCCGCCTCGTCATCCTCTGGGTTTATACAGCTTATGGCTTATGGGGGAGAGCCGGCGATATAGGTTGATGACAAGAGATACCTGGAAATGAATTCTCCCTCCATCTTCAAACCCAGACCGGGAAGCCTCCGACAGAAACTGTCGAGTCCACCCCGGCCCGGTCGCCCCCCTCTCCAGCGACTTTCGGCAGAATTTACATTTTTTGAAAAATTCGGTTGAGGATTCCGGGGTTCCGAAAATGTCATCCTTGTCCGCCCCTGTGGCACCGCCGCCTGGAGCACGCCGCATAAAGCCACCTGCGGAATCTGTGAATCTGTGAGGCTCTTGCGCGGGGCAAAATTCCTTGCCGAGCCAAACCACCCAACTCCTGAACTGAACAGCCCAACCCCTCGGAGTGCCCAAGCCCCGCGCCTACGGAATTTCCCAGGTCCGCTGCCCAAGGCTGGCTGGGAACCTCGTAGCCGAAATGCTCAGAGCTTTCGCTTGGAGGACTTGCAGGGCACAAGAAGCCTATAGAAAACGCCTCTAGCCCCACCCATCCATGAATCTTCAGGGAACATAATAGATATTATCTAACCAAACCCAAACCTGTCATGCCCGAAGCCTGGACTCTTGTACCGCCTGAAAGACCCCACCTCAGCCTCCTGGATGGGCTTCTCCGGGTCGATGGAGTCCACCTCCTCTGCTGAGGAGACCTCGTCCGGATCCTCTCCGTGGGGGAGCATCTTCAGGTATATTCAAAGTCAGCCGCTCCCGGAGTTGGAGGCCTATGAGTGGCCCCGCGGCTCTTTTTCACTTGGGGGCTGGCCTGGCAATCAGCCCCGGCCCCGGCATTCCCTCATCAGAGTTGTGGAAGCCCCCTTAATTCTTCTGCACTTACAAGCCGGGTACTAACACTTTACGAACCTCTGCTGAACTTTGGCCTTTTCGAGCCAAACTCCCACAAGGAATCTCAAAACCTGATAAAACCCTGAGCCCGCTCCCCACTTTGCCACTCATTTTGCCTCGTCATCCAAGCCGACTTCAGGCGGTGCAGGGACGAAGCCCGGAAGACCCGCAACTGGCATCGGGAACCTGAGAGAGTCTCACGAAACCCTCAGGAGACTGGTTCGAACCAGAGGTGGGGCTCGAGTCTGAGGCACCCGAAAGAAAAAGAGAGCGTTGCACCACCAATTTATGAAGCTCGAGAAGCTCGTTTTGAACCACCTTGAGGCGCTTCGGGCCGTAGACTCCTCGGCTCTCAGGGGTGCTGGGCTCTTGGGTTTACCTTGCGAACACTTTTGACGACCTCTGCTCCACACTTTGACGACCTCTTTCCACTAAAGGATGTCCACGTGATTACGAGCTGTGGTCAAAAGGGCTGACGGAGGGGGACCGACGCTTAGGATGTGATGGCTACTGTCGGTATACATTGTTACATAGGTGCTCTCCCTCACTTGAATGACCTGCAGGTGCATTCGCCACCGGAGGCGGCGGATGCAAAGACGCTATAGGCTTTCATACGTGGGTAATGAGTTCAATTTGAAACACGCCGTCACCATGCTATCGGATCTGAGCCGCGGATGGTAACTTTTGATCGCTGCATCGGCCGGCCTGCCGCCTAGCATCAAGTGGCGGTCCAGGTGCAATCGACCAGTTGGGGGGCCACAGAGATCCTTTGATTGAAAGTCCCATCTTAGCATCGGTGCTTGGAGGGGAGACAAGAGCATCGGGATCTTAGCATGCTGATTCTTGAAAGGAGATGTCCTGGCAACTCCGGTGAAAGCTTTTTCATCTCACATCGTCGAGTCAGGCCGGGGCCTTGCCGTTCAGCGCAGCAAAGGAAACCGCCACCCAGCCAAATCCTCAAGAGGACGTGTTCAGTCATTCCAGCTACACCCGCAGTTGACAAAGCCTGTCCATCTGAGAAACTCGCAGGTTAAGAAGTGTCGCGGAACCTGTAGAATCCGTGAAAACTACGTAACTCTACTAAGTGCACACCATCCACGTAAACCTCCAGCACTTCCGAGTCGCCTGTGAGCGAGATGTCGGACATGACATGGCCATCCATGGACAGCGAATCGGGTGTCTTGACGTAGCCTAGCATCTCAGATCACTCTGCTAGAAATTCAGTCTTGTCTTCAAGATTCTTGGCTTTTGCTACACCACTCGATCGATATCGTCTTGCGGCCCAGGTAGCAAAACCAGCAGACCGATTCCCGACGATCACTACCCCATGTTCAGACATGCAGCAAACAGTGACATGCAAACCCGCATCCCTTTCCTTATAAAGGATCCAGAGCCCAAACACCGAGAGATCCCACTGCCAGGTTGAGGCGCACAAAGATGCCAAGGCCAAACCATCTGGGGGGTCCGGGTAGCCCCGTCCATCCTGCTAGGCTTGGCGGCAGCTTGATGATGCGGGGTCAGCTGCAAGCTTTTCAGCACTTCCATGCCGCCACAATTATTTCGCAGCCGTGAGAGACAGACTGAAAGAACCTCTCCTCGCCGCCCTTTGGCACATTGGCGACACAGCTCACCACCTCGGACGCAAGGGAGCATGCGCCGTGCGAGCATCATCTCCTACCTCTTTGCTGCAATATGTTTAAGTTACACAAGGACTACGCGAGTGTTTCCATGCACTTGACTCGCAACCCGATTCAATCTCTGGCGACCCTTTCCCCTACCATAGCCTTTCAGTAAGGCACCAGGTTGTGCACGCCCACAAAGGACAGCTGCAGCTGGGCGCTCACCGGAGGGTATACCTGCCCCCGGAAGATATTGCAGTTTGGGGGGGGCGGGGGGGGCGGGGTCATCTGCACACGAAACGCTTCCTGCCCAAATCCGATGCTAGATCTCGGCTACTCCTATTCTCGCCAATCAATAGTGCCTGACAATCATGGAAAAGTCACAGTGAACAAGCGTAGTGAACAAGCTCGAAGAGTAAGGAGGGACGTCAGACAAACGTGTAGGGCATCGATTGTACACGCCAACGGTAGGGAATAGAGGCTCTGGCGAGGCATTCTAGACAGAGCGCGCAGGGGGGTAACCTGGATTCAGACTGTTCATCACTCTCCGAGTGATACTTTCACTGCCCAAGCTTGAAGGCAATAAGCTTTGTTCGAGGTTTTGAGCATCTGCGCCAGGGGGTCCAGGGGGTCGGGGATGGGATTGCGCCTCGACAGCCACGACAGGAGGCTGGCCAGGGAAACCCCACAGATACCTCACGGGGCGGTCCAGCCACTGCCTCAGGCAACCATCTTTGCCAGCGCGGACGTGTTATCCGTTAGCGCGAAAGTTCGATTCTACCCGTCTGAAATTGGCTACACGGGCCGTGTGAATTCAATTCGTTCGATGCGTCACCGCAAAATGCAATGAATACGCACATGCGGATCCACCGTGACCTATGTCAATTAGACCTATAAGTCTTCCAGGCGTAGTGTAGTCTGACGGACAACCTTTTGTCGTCCAACGGCCACCTGAAACCCACATACTGCGACACGAAGCTATGCCAGCTATGCTGTTGCTGACCAGGGCAAAAATGCAGCACAGATGCTTCAAGTTCTCAGGGGTCACGTCCTCTCCACTGGCCTTCGAGATCACTGGACTGATGCATGAAGCAGCTTCGAAAACCACGATTGTTTGCCAAAATCGCGAATGACATCCAGACGCCAGGAAATTACACGGATGCAATTCCAACAACATTTACCACTCAGCAAAGACAAGGTAACTGCCTTGAGCTGCTCGAGGACATCCTTGCCCGGGCACACCGTGTGCACTCCAAACTTCCTTCAGTTTCAGCCAGCGGGACATAGCAGCAGAGCGCGACATGACATCGGATGTGCGATTTAGGACGTTAGACCGTGGTCTAGAAGTTGGGAAACCCTGTGCTTCGCACACACCCTCCATGGTGAGTGGATTCCCAATCCTGGTGGGCTGCACGTAGTTGTACGCTTCGATGTCCAGCAGGTTCTGCATGCTGCTCGGCTGGTGCACGCCTGCCGTGGAGAGGATTGAGGAATTGAAGTGCTGACTAGTATACACTCTTGCAAATCCTTCGGGGCGACAGACTCCCCACCTGGTGTGTCATAGAGACTCGCGAACACAGGTGATGTCGCAGATCTGCGAAAGGCCCTGTCAAGTCGAGGCACGATGCCGCTTCCAAAAGCTCTCTTGCTCACTGAACCCGATTTCTACAGAATCCTAAAGACAGATGCGAAGAACGATCCTAGAAATCTGCTCTTGAGGGCCTCAGCTGGATAGTGCCCAAGGTCGTCCCGGGCGTGCGCGACACTAACGGCCGAGGGCCTGAGGCCAGTCGTGCAAACATGTAGGGCCTCCAAGGATGGATTGAGGTAGGTTCCGGTCCTAGGGTTAGGGACCTGCGGCCGAGGGGCAGTCTTCCACCTTGCCTTGAGGGAACTTCTCCTGCCCAAGCTTCAGTCTGAGTTTGGAGGACTGAGGGGTCGAGTACGTGTCACGTTCCCCATTCCAGGGTACATCCTATCGGTCTTTGACTTCAAGCGTGCACCCTTAAGGGGCCCCGTACGATGCACACTAGAAGTTAAGCATGATACACACTCGGTCGCAAGTCGAGCATCATGTTAAGCCTCCAATTTGCGTCGTGACGATGTTCAGCTACCGAAGCCAAAGCAGGGCTCATCTTATGTTGCCTTACATTAGGGTTCATTGAGTGGTTGAGATCTTGGCAATGATGTTGCCTTTCCTTAGGCTTGCGTTGTGTTCTTTGGGTTTTGCTGCGATGCTTGGCAATGATGCTATCCCTCTTCTGGCAAAGATGCTACCTTTCCCTAGGGGTCTTGTTGGATGTCGTCGCTTCCTTAGGGTTTTAGGGTGTCGTCTCTGCATTGCGGGGGGGGTGGGGTGTTGATGATGCTGCCTTTGCTTGGGGTGTTTGTGTCACCTTTCCTTAGGAGTCGGCCCCTTCCTAGGCTCTTGCCGTGAGTTTTGTCAATCCTTTGTTTAGGTGTGTTGTTGCTTCCTCTAGCCATGATGTTACCTTTGCCGAGGGGTGTTGTTGCTTCGTCGAGTTTTTTCGCTGCTTGGCGACGCTCCCCGCCTTTTGGCAATGATGATACCTCTACCTAGGGGTGTTGTTGCTTGTTAAGGGTTTTGCGTTGTTTTGCTCTCTTCGGGATTTCTTTCGTTGCTTCCTTAGGGCTTTCCTGTCGCTTCTCTTCGTTGCGTTTGCGGACACCTTTTGTCATGATGCTACCTTTGCTTGGGGTTTTGTTGTCACCCTTCCTTCCTTAGGGTTGAGCCCCTTCCTTCGGGTTTTCCCGTAGCAGCTGTAGCAATGATGTCACCCTTCTTTAGGGCTTCGCTGTTCTTATTTCTTCACTTTGCTGGTCGAGACTCTGGCAATGACGTTGCCTTGCCCTGAGGGGTCCTGTTGCTTTATTGCTTCCTTGGGTTTGCAGTTTTACCGCTTCACCGCCTCCCTGTGTCTCTTTCTATTGCGTTGTTTCAGAGCAATGATGCTGCCCTTCTTCAGGGTTTTTGTAGCTTCCTGATGAGGGCTTTCGCGGCCCGAGTTTTTTTCACTGCGTTCGCTGACAGTGGCCATGATGCTGCCTTTCTTTAGACCTGTGGATGTTTTATCCCTTCGCGCCTGGAGTTTTCGGGTTAAATCTCCTTTGTTGAGACGTTGGCAACGATGTTACTTTCCCTCCTGTGGGTTTTAGAAAGCATAAACCAGAACCCCTTCTTGTGCAATTCGGGCATTAGTTGTGCCCACAAGGCACAATGCATTTTGGCCCCGCGCCAAAGTGCACACGACTCGGTGGGCGCAACTTGTGGTATACATGCACAGCGGGGGGCGGATGCAAGTTAGAGGGGGGATATCAGGATCTTCAAAATACCTGGCTTACCTAATCTCAACGGATGCACACTGGACCCCCCCGGATCCTCTACCGGGTCCTTACGATGAATCTCACATCAAAGCGCCCCGACAGGCCTCCAGCCGGTCTAAAAGTCGCGTGATGAAGCAGGACTTGCCGGCATTGGCGGCCCCCACGACGAACCTCTCGACAAGGCAGATGTGAATCTCTGCTCGCAAGCAAAGGCCGGTGTTTACAGGTTTGCCGAAATGGCCTTTTCAAGCCAAGGTGCACGTCCATGCCACACCGGGATTCGATGATGGCATTCGCAGCATGATTGATGTACTTCCCCGTCTCATTGCTGACAAGCTTGACCTTGCGCGTGTTTCTATCAGAGACCCCAGCACCTGCAATCTCCAGGGGGAGGGAGAGCAAGAACAAATCAGACCCAAAACCTAGCTTTTTCCGAAGCAAGCTTGCTTTGGGGCCCTGTGCACAAAATCACCTCCCAGAAATGAATAAGCTCTCTGGGCGACGTTCACAACTCGCAGCTTCTTCTTCCGCAAGATGTAGAGTAGCCACTTCTCGACTGGCTCCAGCTTGGTCTTCGGTGGCAGGAGGTCCTTTCTCCACGTGGGGTGGAGCATAGGGAAGTGATGAGATGGAGTGCAGAATGGTTTAAGTTGGAAATCCGCCGAGGCCTGAGGCCTGAGGCCTGAGGCGTTTAGATCCAGGTCTCGGGAACTTTCATAGTTGTACCCACCGAGCTTGTTTTTGCGCGGAATAGGTGACCGCCCTAGCCGACCAGTGTCCAGATGCGGACGACGTGTCGGGACCAGGGAAGATTTCGGGCCAGCCATAGGGGGCGGATGTTGTGTTTCCCCTAACCTCCCGACCCTACCTCCCCCCCCTAGCCCCCCCACTTCTCGTGAACCCTGAATTCGCCTCGGTACCCTTGCCGAGGCGGCTTCGCGTTACCGTTTAAATTATATAAGGAGTTGAGGGCTTCAGCCTTAGGCTCACACACAAAGGTACGACCCGAGCTGTGTTGATTTCATGATCTCAACTCGCTTCGACGAGCATCAATCTTGGTTCCAATCAAGACGACCGGGTTCTTCCCAACAATCTGCCGGATCTTGCCTCAAAGCACCGGAGCCGGCAAACAGAACACAAAAGAATAAGCAAGACAGAGCTTTGAGTGGAAATATCAGGCTTCTCGCCATATGGACTACAAGGAGCCACAGCCTTCATCCAGCATGTTAAGTCTGTTAAGTCAAAGAGGAGGCACGGATGAACGAGCCGTTGAAGTCAAGCACATCCACAATGTACCTTGACTCGACGCACGGGGTGACCATGGGCCACCACATAGGCCGAGCATCCGTTGAACGGATCAAACGCACTGACATCCTGGTAGGTGACCTTGAAAGCCTACGCCCTTGCGCCCCAGAACCTCAAGGGTCAGGCAAGCAACACAACCAAACAGCGACGTTTGGAGATGGTTTGCAGCTGCTGGGCAAGCACATCTGCCGGAACTACCTCGGATATCTGGCCGGGAAGTTCGGAAAATCACTTGGTGCATCTTCTTCATGCGCACGTCTTTGCTCGGATTTTTGGGGCGTTAGGGCTTCAAGCTGCGCGACTCGGGACCACATCAAGGCCCATCGCGTGGGGTTGCTACGGTTTTTGGGGGGTTAAACCGGGGGTTTTGACTGGAATTCGGGCCTACTGGATGGGCTTAGAGATGCTCCGACCATCGAAAATCAGGACCTCGTGCCGCATTTACTCCTTGCTCTTATGTTCACTCTCTTCACAAAGCATTGCAGAGAGGGAAAATAAGAAATTGAAAGAAAGAAGGAAAGAAAGAAAGAGAGCGAGAGAGAGAGAGAGAGAGAGACAGAAAAAAACAAAAAACACTTCGGATGCCATGGCTGCTTGCCCGCCAAAGCCAACTTGGCCTTCGGCCATGACTTCCTGTTCAGGAAGCTTCCAGGGCATCACCAAAGCTCAGTCTCAGGCAATCAATGCACGTTTCTCTCTCCGCAAACGAACCGCAGCTGCAGACACGTGGACTTCATAAAGGCATGGCAAGCATGATGCTGGCAAACTCTCGAAACGTTCCATGAGATGGGCTTATCGGCTTTTGGGGGCTAGGCTTAGGGGGCTCAGCCTTCACCACCGGGACCAACTGCCCCTGCTCCAAAGCCAGGCACCGCGAGCACAGCAGCTTGCGATGTAGACCTCACAGCAGCTTGCGATGTAGACCCTCTTCGCAGGAGATTCGTCAAATGCTCGTGCTCAACACAATCATATGGAACGCCTTGTGCCAGGCCTGCCCATACTCACTAGAATTTGTGGGCGGAGTGGCATAATCCAGCACAATACTAATTAATTCCTTCTTTCGAAATTCGACATGAAATTGGCCCACGGTCAGCAGCAGACCAACTTCATCGAAAACCCGAGGGTCAAGGCGTTTGGCCTGGGAAGGCGCCGTCTTAAAATGTAAGGGTCGGTGCTCGGATGGCCCTAGTCGGGTCGTCTCCTTCCCAACTGCGAAGGCTTCTTGAGCATCTTCATGAAACCTCCTCCGAGTGGCGCTCCGACCACTTCTCCAGGTAGTTGGAGAAGCGCACATAACCTCAGGGGGGGCTTCCCCTTTGCACCCACACACCTTAAGCCCCTGCCAGGCCAAGGCCGACCCCACACTGAAATCCTTCTAGCAGTCGACTCTGAAACCCGGTTCCCGAAGGTTCCTCATGCATCCTCATGCATGCAGTGACAAGGTCGGCAGCAGCAAGTAGCTAAGGAGGCAAGTCGCCAACATTGTTCGGGTCGTGTGTCTGAAGCGGAATCCCGCAACCGCGGCAGCAAATCAATCGCCTCAGATGACTCGAGGCCCGCTACGAAGCTGATCGTCGAGGATGTTCTCTTTTGAGAGCTGGGGGGACTCAGACAGAACCTCTCAACTTTTTACTACAAAGACAGAGAATCCGAGACCTAGACTCGCAATAAACCTGGGGAAGAAGATCTTTTTCAAGATGTGGGGAACACATCTTCGCTCCCCACAAGTCTAGCTGTTCCCGCAACCGTGCAGTCCGGAGCCCTGCAGTTCTGAACAGCACTTAGGGGGATGAAGACTCTTGTAAAAGTCGTGGCACTGTTTCAAGTCTTCTGGGTACTTCTCAAAGTGGTGGGGTGGTGGGGGGGGGGGGGGGAGAGGCACCATACCCCGAAAATAGCATCTCAATAAAACCCCCCAAAGGCCCCTAGACTTTTTTGGAAAAGCATCATGAGGCCAAGGGATGCAGGAGCAAAACACAACAGACAAGCGCTTAAAAGAAGCATCCCCCATGACTCAACGGGGCCCAATGACTTCCCATGATCGCTTTTGAATCCCCTTCCCTGAGGCTGCTTAGAGTCTTTATAAGGCTAACTTGGGTTGCTTAGAGCTGCAGGATCCAGCCTTTTCCCCTTCAGCGTGCTGGCATTCCGAATCTAAACAGGATCTCCAGTTCCCAAACGCCAGCAAGCAAGCGGCTCTGATGCTTTGTTGGCCCGGGTCATAAGATCCTCGGAAAGAATTGAGTCCGGCTTCGCTCTCTCTCTCTCTCTCTCTCTCTGGATTTCATAAGAGGCGGCATCCCGCCCATCCGCCCCAGGCGGAGCACCCACCATTCACGTTCACGACATGTCAATGTGTGCATGGACCTTTGGTGTCGCAGCCCAGGTCATTCTGCAAACGAGCTCGCGAGACAGCAGCTTGAGTCCATACTGGGAGGCTGAGCGAGCTAAAAGGAGCTAAAGAAGCAGCTGACGGCTACATGCAGCTTGGGGTCGATCCCCTTGGTGAGCGGGTCGTCTGTGTGGGGGTCAAAGACGCCTGGCTGGCTCCTTCAGAGACCCCAACTGAGAGCAGAGGCAACTGTAAAGCAGACTCCACTGGACTTCGGACCTTTTTGAGTTAGATCCCCTAGCTACACGCCCTGGAAAACGTGCAACACACGGGACTCCCCAAAAGAGGGAGGGAGAGAGAGAGAGAGAGAGAACGCAGAGAGCAAACAAGGTCCTCCGCGGGTTCGGCACGATCTCTTCGACCATGGCCTCAAGGATTCAGGCGATTTCAGGGTCTGATGCTGTTTTGTTTCTTTTCACGGGGCCTTTCTAGAGGGCTCCGCTTTCAGACCTATCCTAAGCGCAGGCGCCAGGATATCTAGAAGTCATGGGAGTATTAGAGTTCGATATGGGCGACGGCATGCTGGACTTGCACCAGCCTCGAGCTCTTCCCCACTTGGGCCGCCCGGGAAGCCCGCAAAAGGAACGCCTTTCCTTCGCAAGAGCAGACATGTTGATCACACTTGGCAGAGTCGCGAAGGGAGATGTTCTAAGAACGTAGTGCTCGGTTGAATTTCGGTACAGAAACTGCATGGACAGGGAACCTTGCAGTAAAAGAACATCTTGACTCGGGCGTGGCGGTAGATCAAGATCTTGCTTGACGATGGAATGAAGAAACGAGTGTTTTTTCTGTGCCCACACGTGTCAGGGCTGTCAGGGTTTGAAAAACTAAAGACGACATGTTCCCGGACAGGCAGAGGTGTAGCTCTCCAAGTGTATTTTGACAGCTTGCCGGCAAAAACACGAAGTAGTTGGCCCTGCACGTCTGAAGCATACCCCTGAGCCGCAACGTCCGCAAAGCAAAGAACAAGCTGAAAGGATCTGAAGCGCCCTTTTCATTTCCAGGGAAGGCTCGTGTTGGGAAGCCTTTTTGGCGCCGCAGGCAGTTCCAATTGCCTCGGTGGGAAGGGTTCAGCGACTTCATGGCCCTGCAGGCACCCGGCCTAGTGGGCCAAGTAGCCATGCTTTGCCTCGATTATCTACTTTCGGAGGATGAAGTGACTCTCGAACCCCTCTATCGTTGCTTTCCTGCGGTGGTGCACCGGAAGCTGTCTCTACGTGTCTCGACCGATCAATTCAGAGCACATGTCATGGGCAGACGCACACGCGGGGTTGCTGACATCGGCTGCGTTCCGGGCAATGTCTGAAGGACTTGTAAAGATAAAGAAGGAAGCGATGAAACAGAAGCGCTTCCAGCATGTTCTGACAAGCTTTCAGTTTAGGGAAAAGCCGTGACATGCTCTGACGCAGGTACCCATGAACGCACACAAATAAACCCAAAGTCGGGCAAGCACGCTCGCAAGAGCGCACCCCCACATTCACCCTGGACTTGGACATCTGCGGCTCACCACAAGAATATTCAACAAACGCATGAATGCAGACGGGCCGACTTTCTGAGCTGGTCCAATTCGTCCTCCGAGTCATTGGGCGGCCAAAAAAACCGCGGCGGTGCATGCCCCAACCCTCTTGGGCCCTAGGGCAACCCATGAACCGTGATGGGCGCCTCGTGAAAGTTTATAGATTTAACAGTGGTTTAACCTTCCTACACTTTCTGCCCTGTGGACTTGCGAGGAATTCGATGAGTTTAGAGGACGATACGTCTGCTTGGCACTTCCGCTGCTCCTCCAGCGGCGCCGGGTCACGCGAAGCGCGCCGCGCGACAGCGGCACCCAAACAGAAGGGCACCTCGCCACGGTGTGCTTCAAGGCCGCAACGAGGTGTGGGCAGCGTGGGGGAAAGTGGAAAGCGTCTTCTGGGCGTGTTGACAAGCATCGCGGGAACTTGACGAGTGCGCCCCTGAAGATGTGACACCCCAAAGTTCCAGTGCCCCCTTCGGTGGCACTCGTGCGATACTCCGATGCTCCGAAGCTCCGATGCTCGTGTGACGTATCTGTTCGTCCCCGGAGCTGGCCACAGCGCCCATCCAGGGAGCTTCGTCGGGAGCCTGGCAAGGTCGGAGTGTGTGTCAGTGTTGCAGCTGCGGGGCCTGGGTCTCTAGGTGTGCTCTTTGAAAATCCCCCTTTTTGCTGCACATACATACATATGTATATACGTATATGTGAGACTAACCTTTTGAGTCCATTTCACGCATATCCCTCATATGGTTTATTTCTGAAAGAAACGCATCAACCTGTTTCCAAGACTCTTTGGGAGAAAAATGCGCAATAAGCTTGGGTGCAATAAGCTTGGGTTTTCTTTTATTTCTCAACTTACCAGTTGATGTTTACGCTACGTCCATGTAGGATTCGCTGCACTTCTTGATGCTCATAATAAACAGAACTCAACTGTTGCCTTTCTTGAAGTTCATGCTCTCTAAATAGCGATACAAAACAACGAATATGTATGAATGATGAAAGCAACTACCGGAGCATCTAGGTTGTGGCGAAAGGCAAAATAAGCAGGAGTCGATTGTTGATATTGTTGATTGGAAGATACTGACATTCGCAACATGGCCCTTTACCTAAATACTGCATGTCAAGGCAACGTCATCATGCCTCTTGATCTTTTTGTTGGATAAGACTGATAAGACTCTCAAATATAGCCGATTCGCGCCAAGGCAACTAGTACAGATCTGGGGGGCCACATGAAATAAACGAGTTTAAAGTCTTGCAGCTGCAGCTGACTTAGAAGGTGATCAACATGTCATCCAGCCTCCAACTCAAACAAACATGCTATCCTGGGATCAAGTCGAAGTCAGCAACGACGTCAGCAAGTGTTCAACTGCCTTGGGAGTGTGTGAGAAGCCTCATGGCCTTTCTTTGGTTCTGCAGACCCTGGACTGCAAAGGGCTATGGAACCCCAAGCATGTTCCAACGTCTCTGGCGTCCAAGACCTGCCAGGGCGGCTCGACCCATCGACCATGGGGAGGCCCTGGTGACGCCAGTGCCACTCTTGCAGAGCCTGCTATTCTAGGCTGCAGACCCCAAACCCACCATGTGCATGAAAGTATGCGGCCCTGAACACTGCAATCTCCAAACCAGCCGTCTCCTGAGCAGGGAAACATGGAGCTGGGGGACAGGATGGGAAAGTCTGTAACAAGGATCTCCGGCATACTTGCACACAGCAGCCCTTCGAAGGTAAATATGATGTAATGCAGCCTTGCCCACGTTGCAACACACGTTCAAAACTCCAAATAGTTCGTCCAGGCCAAGAGGCCATACCGACACCCTGCCCGGCCCCCTCTTTAAAATATCCTGGGGCCTGCACCAGCTCCGTGCCGACTTCGTGCCAGCGGCACACCTCCAGCCCGTAGCAAAGTGCGTCATGAGGCAAGAAGGAAGCAGAACGAGGACAAAGGAAGCAGTGAAGGCCGCATCATGAGGGGGCCCCTACTTCGGTTCAGGAACGCAATGCAAGCCGTGGCATGCTAATGAAGCCTGCTCTAGGCATCTTTGTTACATCACCAAGATAATAAGGGGCAGAATCCGCTTACCAGCGTCTGCTAAGAACCCCATCTGGCCATCTGGCAATGCCAAAACGGGGCTGGCCTCCCAGGCTGCCGCAGTGATGCCAGCCGGGCTCTGCCATGGGGATGGGAAACGATTTTTTTCGGACTGCGTGACTGACAGAATCTGTTGTAGACACACGCCACTAAGATTAAGAGCTGGGCTGCTGAGATCAATAAGAAAGCACTTGAATGAAAGCACAATAAGCACTAGACACAACCTGCCGCGTGCTTGTGCCAAGCACAACTTGAGGCTCTTGAGGTACAGTGGCTGCGGACTCCCCGACACATGCAGGAACATGTTCTCCGTGGCTGCAATCGTGCAATGTGCGATCAAAGGGCTATCACGGTTGCTGGGGACTGCTGAGAGCTGGGATAGCGCAGCCTATGTTCGCGCGTTGCTAAGCTACCCTCCTTTGCATCCCCAGGTGCACGGTTTACCTAGTTATTGCTCCGATGTAGGACCTTACTTTTCGGCTCCGCAAGATCCACCCTACCCGAAGCACAACTCCCCCCCCTTCTCCTTCCCCCCCCTCTGTCGGCCTCCTGAGGGAGTGCGGCCATCATACCCTGAATCAGAGTACGGTTTGTCGAAGGGGATACCAAAAGGTCAGGGCATTGGAATCTGAAAACTTGATGGCAGCCAACCTCTGCCTAGAGACCCAAATTGATGACGAGTGTCCAGTGCTCCCGCGCAAACGTTTCAATCCATTCGACAAAGCTTGCAAAGCTGCATCACTGTGTTCGTGTGTGAATCCGAAACCCGACAACGGTGTAAGACCACTTGAAGAGCATGCCAAGAGCACCTCAGGAAAGTAGGAGCATTTCCCTGCCACATTTCCCGAGATGCAGCGGCTCAGCCGCCGATCTCATCTGGAGCTTCGATCTCTGGCTCACATGCCATCCTTCTAATTCTCCTGACTCACGCTTCGACCACTCCCTCCCTGTCCTTTTCTCTTTCCTCTTTCTTTTTCTCTGAAAGGACGCCTCGGGACAATTTTACCCCCACCGGTTCGGGGCTCTCGACGACGAGAGCCGCAGAGCGCACTCAAGCTCCCAAGTCCATTCGGCGTGAAGGTGTTGTGCAAGCATTGCTCCCGCCCAGACCCCTCCTCTCCTGACAGGTTCTCAGGCCATCGCGGCACAAGTTTTGCCTTTGATATCGACCTTCCGGGCTTCGTTCTTCCTCCTCTTGATCCCTCTTGTGCAGCATCCCGCGTGCGGCCCTTCATTGATGAAATGCAGCCATGCCATTTTGCTGTCTGCCGCTGCGATCATGGAAAGCCCTTGCTTTTGAAGAGTAGTTGCGTCAAGGTCTTGTGGCGCGACTGTCTGTGCTGGCTGTAGAACAGAACAGGCACAGTACCACCTGAGCGGTTGAAACAATGTATCACCAGCCTTAAGCTGACCGGCAGCATCCGCTTTTGGAGAGATCCTGGCCACCGGATTCGTGCTCAGCTCAACGCAAGAAGTGGAGAGTTCCGGTTGGTTGAGGCCTTCAGATTTAAGATTTTGTGCTGAGGCTTCGAGCCTTTAAGCTTCTGGTTCCGCGACCCCTGATTCTTCTATGACATCTATGATGTGGTTGAGCAGAACCCTCCCTCCCACACCTTCCGCAACAGTAACAATCCTGAGTTGCAAGGCTCGGGTCAAAAGCAGGTGGGGCGGCAAATGATTCGAAATAATCCCTGGATATCCAAACACGGCCACACGAACAGCAGCTCAAGTCCGGATTAGCAAACCGCCATGAGATAGGGATGCACCGTCGCACGGTCAGACGCTCCAGAGCCACAAGTGTCGGCAGGCAGGCTTGCACGTAGACAACCCCGACAACCAAACAAGCTTCACAGCTGAAACCGTAACATGGCATGAGTCATAGCTCAAGTGGCTCGATTACGCTCCTGAACAGCCCGGCATCCTTGACTTGACGGCCATCCCCCGTCCCAGGCAAGCGGCAAAGGTGCGGCAGTCTTCAAGGGAAGCAAACCGACTGCTTACCTCCAAGAACTGATTCAGAGGGGGAGGATTGTCGAGACTAGAGCACCGTGTATACCCCTGTGAGCCTCAGCGCCAGGATCGGCGTTGGATCTGATCGCGAGAAGCGCATGTCCGGGTCTTCCTCAGCCCGCGGACTCGGCTCAACATGGCAAGGTTCTTGCCACTGTAGTAACTGTAGTAGCTTAAGTCATGGCCATGAGTGGGCATCTGCCCACGAAAACCTGATCCTCTGAGTGGTATCGGCATCCCCGAAACGCAGCCCTGCAGCAGCCTCCAGCTGCAGCTCTTCGGCAACTTCAATGAAAGTGTTTTTGACCTGCATCGGAGTAGACATGCTGAGCAAGCTCTGCTCACTCTCGTTAGCTTTGCGCATATCACCCTTCAGCAGCACTACTCTTCTATGCATCCTTCCCCAAGTCTACCCACAAATAATCCAAGACCTGATGCTAAACCGCAGCGCATGACTGCAGCTGATCAATGCAAACCATGTGCTTCTTGCCTTAACCTTGTTTTCGCTGCCCACAGGAAGCGAGCCACTCCTGACAGTGACACAGAATCCATCTCCGGAGCTCAGGCACGTCACCAAAGAAGACATAACTTTGATGATAAACAACTGGAACGCAATCTAAGCTAAGCAAACATGGGGGGGGTCCCTACAAAGCCACAAGCTACAAAAAGGCTGAATTTGGCCAAAGCAAAGCTGCTCGAGAGCCTGTGCAATCTTGGCAGGAATGGCTCTTTCGCGCTATCACAGAATCACAGGTCTGGATCTCAACTCATTTGCCCGAGGCCAACTTGCAGCAGCTCTGCCCTGCTTGAGATTGAAAGGTATCGAAAGAGAGCAATGGCAGAACAAGGTGTGCTGGACTGATGGACAGTTGTGAACAACGCTCTGTGCAAAGTGTCCCGATGGAGGAGGGCGGTGAGATCGGCTTGGCCGGACTCTCCTGTCTTCTCCAGGCACATGGAGTTGTCAGGGCTTAGGACTAGGATGCATCGAAATGCCGATCCCCACATGTGCAACAAGCTTTCATGCGAGGCTGGATTCCTAGGTCTGCCTCGCATGCACGAGTGCTGCAAGAGTTCAAAAGAGCTGGAAAGCGCAATACCACGCCTCGCTACACTTTGAGGCTTTGAGAGGAAGGCTACGATGCTTTGTGGGCAGGTGCCCCGAAAGAAAGCCTGGCCAAAGCGTGCCTTCCAAGAGTACCGGGGACGTGGAGGGGAACGAGGGATGGGAGGGATTCAAAGCCATGCGCTGCGCGCCAAACCCCAAAGCGCACCAACTCAGTAGCAACTCCCCTAACAGCCCCAGAAGCCCCCCCCTAAACCCTAAACCCTAAACCCTAAACCCTAAACCCTAAACCCTAAACCCTAAACCCTAAACCCCCTGAGTTCAGCGCCGGCGATCCGGGGCTTGCTCCCCTGAGTGCACAGCAGCTTTTCAAGGGGGTTTGCCTTTTCTGGGATCTACTGCTGCGGCCTTCACTCCGTTCACTCTGTGAGACTCACCATGCAAGCTTCGTATAGGGTATCTGATCTGAAGGTTCACTCAGGTCAACCCTCAGTTTAGGAGCTTGTAGGGGCCGGTAGAAGTCGTATAGAAGTCATAGACAGACCCATCGTGAAGAGCATTCAGGTGTCACTGCTGAGTACTGTCTGATTTGCGGCTTTGACATGCAAGCGCGAGCCCTTAGCCCTGCACCTGGAAACCCACAAGAACCACCCAAAACTGCCCAAAACCCCAAACTCGCCCTGCCCCGGTTGCACAGCAAGCCTGCCCTAAGCTATGCCTGGGTGGGGTTTCGGGGTTTGGGAGGCAAACTCTTTGAGAACCCTGAAGCTGCTGCCAGGGACCCGGACCCATGTTGAGGGGAAGACTCCTGTGACGTTGGGAGGGCGCCTGCCTGCAGGGTCCAAGAATTGCCCGGGTCTCGTCATGAATCTTCAGTGCAGGCTCAGCGTACTTCGAGGCTGCCTCCTTTTTGCAATCTTCGTTTTATTCCTGGGGGAACCTTTGAACATCTGCGAGCTTCCAAGTAGCAGTGGCATCAACACAAGCAGCAGCAGCCATACGGGGAACGCCTAACCTAGGTCCCAAAGTTAAGTCTGGGTCATGAGGACACCAACCTCACGCGGGCGCAGGGTGCGTCTGAGAGGCGAGGAGGTGTCCTTCACATCTTCGGAAATCTGCAGGTTTCCGCCGGCTTAAGGACCGACATGTGCAAAGGTGCCAATACGATCTGAAAACTGAACTTGTACCATATCTTGACAAAGCTATCTTGACAACAGCGATTGTCTCGGCTAGACGGGGGTCATTGAATTGAATGGGTGAACTCACAACCTACGCGATGGACTGCGGCAATCGGCGATCATGCAAAAGTCCAGACTCCAGAGCAATGTACAGTTCACAGAAGCCTTCTACTTGCCTGAGCCTGAAGTCCCCCGAGCAACTTGCAATCTCGCTTGCACGAGCATGCGACGATCATGCGACTAGCTCATGGCACTTTCCAAAACAGTCCCTCAGGTAAACCCGGGTAACCCAAACCTCGGCCCTACACACACATAGGCAGGAATGTTGCTTGCTGAGCGCCGAGCACTGGCGGCACCCCCAGAGGTGCAGGAGACGACGACACTTAGGTCCTCGGCAGCAGGAGAGACTTCATGACGGAACTCTTCTCGGGAGCGGGGCTATCGCTTTCGGCTTGTCCCAGTTCGGGGGAGTGTGCCAGTCCCGACAAGATCAAACGATGACACTCGGGTGCTGCAGGTGCTGATCGTGCTGTGCTACGCGTGTATTGTGGCTGTTGTGGTGCAGGGGTGGTGGCCCTGACCTCTGCGATGCTGCTTCAGGCTTCGACACTCTCGGTGCGAAAATTCGGATTGCTTATGTTGCAGTCATGATACTTGTGGTGTTACTCTGTTCCTCCATCAGGAAGCCTTCTACTCGAGAGAGCTGGGCGCGTCGCAGTCTTGAGGAGCTCTCTTCGCAAGTCGCCTGAGAGACGGGGGCCCTTGCAACTCCGAGAAGCCAATGGACCCGAAGAATAAACGAATGACGAGTTAAACAACTTGAGACTCTGCACGTGCGATCGAGCGACGGAAGGAGAAGTTGCTTTGGTGAGACTGTGAGCAAAGGCTTCAAGAAAACTCTGGGCTTCTTCCGAAATCTTGCAGCGCTGTCACAGTGTCACTGTGAGCGTCTATACCATACCAGAAAATATCAGCCCCAAAACGCTGCATGCAGCCCAGATGCTGTACACCGTCACAGCATTGACTGCAACCTTGGGGAGCGGAAAGGAACCCCAACACGTCAGGCAGCGACTACAGTGACTACAGCACCGTGAGAGGATGGGGGTCACAAGGGAGTGAAACGGTGCTCGGGAGGCTCAGGGAACCGACGGCTCCTTAGGTTTGGCTGGAAGCTGAGCTGCTCTCCAGCCCTCAACTCTAAAAAAATCTAATAAACAGTTGCGAGGACTGGCCTGGGGTAAAGAGCCAAAGTCCTGAATCCCAAGGTCTCTACATGCCTCAGAAGTTCTCAGAAGCCTTAACTTTCAAATGTCTGGGGCACTTGCAACCTCATCTCCGCGGGAGATGCTCTGGCCACCTGCTTCCTCCCCAAACAAAAATCCGCTGAAGCCAAGGCTCTTGGGGAACAAGGAGAATGAGGGTTTTTAGGGTTTAGGGTTTAGGGGAGGATTGGACGTAGAACCGTACGGTACAGTGACAGGTAAAGCCGTCATTTTCCAAGCCACGCCCGCAAGCGCAAAGCGCGAGCTATCAACACGCTTCGTCGTTTTTTGGCTCCGCAGCTCATGGCGCAGTCGGACCCCCGGTAAAGAGCGCACCGAGACCTTGCAGTGTTCGTGCAGAGTTTACATTGTCCGGGATGCGCCATTCTCATGATTGCCTTGGGGGGCTCATGCTCACAGCTCTCACCATGTTCCGCTCCATGCGCACTTGTTGATGAGGTAAACAGTTAACCGAAGTCAAACAGCTGAGAAGCCTCAAAATCAAATTATCGCACGGGAAGCCGGCTTCCTTCAAAATGTCGATGCCCATGCAAGCCCCCTTTGACAGGTCGGCTAATCCAATCTCAACTGCCAACGATGTAGAAGAGCTGAGAGGTGTTCCGTTACAGTGATGTCCGTACCATGCGTTGCATGGTGGCTTTACCGTCCTTTTACGTCTTTGCACTCGAACCCCTAAAGATCTTGGAAGCCGTGCCAGAGCTTCGGCTGCGGGCCCCCGACGTGGCACCTTGGCAGTGTCACTGGAGAGTCATCTGTACTCATCTGCACTCATCTGCAGCTAGAATCTCCAAGATATCCGCCGAGGCCTCGGGCCGAAGGTGTATAGGTAGTCAGAACAGGCACCCCCCTCCAAATCCTCCCCCCACACCCAAAGCCCTTTTTCGGACCCCTTTTTTTGCCTCAAATGGGTACCCCCCCTAGGTGAGCAGGGTCCGCAAGCGGATGGCTCGCCAGGACCAGAGGCAGTTGCAGCCCTTCCCAGCAGGGCCCCCCCCCCCCCTTCACCCCCCTACCCCCCCCCCTACCCCCCCCACCCACCCCCCCCCCCCGACCCCCCCCCCCCACCTCCCCCCCTCCCCCCCCCCCTATCCCCCCCTACCCCCCCCTTTTGTCCCTCCCCCAAAAGCCACATGAGCGGCTGGGCTCGAGGTGTCAGTGGACGCAACAAGAGGGGCTTGATGTTTGTAGGTGTCGCTATAGCACACCCAATGGTTCATAACCTAGGGGTGTCGCTTTTCAAGTGTTCCCATCGTTTTACAGGGTTTTGGGCATTCGTGTCCACCCCTTGCTTAATTGAATGGCTGGGGGTTTTGGCGCTTGCTCACATAAGGTGTTTGTGAAAGGCGGCGTTTTCCTGCTCCGACGCGCTGGCTTGAGGGCCGGAGGTCGTCAGAACAGACACCCCTCCTTTTTCGGACCCCTTTTTGGGCCTCAAATGGGTACCCTTTGTGGGAAACCGGGGTCCGCAAGCGGACGGTTCGCCAGGACCAGAGGCAGTTGAAGCCCCTCCCAGCAGGGCCCCCGCCGTTGTCCCCCCTCCCCCCACCCCCACCCCCCCCCCCCCCCCCCCTCCCCTCCCCCCCCCCTCCCCCCACCCCACCTCCCCCCTCCCCCCCACCCTGCCGAAGAGTCGCCAGCGGCCTGGCTCAACCCTACGATCACTCCAAGCCGAACCCTAAACCCAAAAAAACCCTCAACCCCAAAGCGTGAACCTTGAGCCCTAAACTAACCCTCAACCCCAAACCCCAAACCATAAACCATAAACCCGGAACCCTCAACCCTCAACCCAACCCTTATTGCTTGGGGTCCAGCGACTTGGGCGCTGCGGAATCACCATGCTCACGCGGATGCGCTGGGCCGGGCCGAGGCGGGTCGCGTAGCGTTAAAATTAGTAATTAGGCATCCTGGAATCCTGCACCCTGCGAATCCCAGCTCCGGTCTCAGTTTCCCATCCTTCACAGGAGCCTCACATAGCCTCTCCACGTCTCCCATCACGACCCCCGCTTCTGCCTGTCTCCCGGCCTGCGCCCGCCGCTTGCGTCGATGCGCCAGCCTCGGCTGGCACCGCAGTCTCCGGGGCTGCGAGGCGCCTCGTCGGGGTGCGTGGTGGGGCATTTGGGTTCCTCGGTGTCGTTTCTCATCGCCTTGGGCAAAACGGGGCGACCGGGATTGAAAAGGATTGACTCTAGATTGAGGGGGCGGCGCGCACCCGGTACCGTTTTCATAGCATTGTGCAAAATCGCACGGGCGCAGGTTCCACATTCTACATCATTCGACCACAAACCCAAGCCACGCTCCGCTGCCCATGGCCGTGACGGCAGCTGCGGCAGCAGCGCCCGCGGCCTTCGAAGCGCATGGTATGCGTTCAGAGATTTCGAACCTGATATACGCGTGTACATACATATCAGAATGACAGCCACATGGTGGTCTGTGAAACTTTGCGATTGCTATGGAGACTTGAGTTGTGTATTGTATGACTCGTGACAACTTCGCACCTGCTTCCTAAATCCACACGGCATAGAGCAGGCGCAACCTGTATCGGAGCTCGCACCTCGCCAGAAGCAGGTGCGGTCGGCTCTTGGTTCTGCACCTCCTCCTCCAGACCGAATGGCTCCAATTGCCCTAAACCCGAAACCCGAAACCCTAAACCCTAAACCCTAAACCCCAAGTGGGGCTCAGCAGAACTTTGAAGCTCAGCTGACGGTCCCCTTCAAAGTCCAAGAGTTCTCGCGCAGGACGTGCTCTAACAGGAGCAACGTAAGAGTGACTTTTGAATTCGGATTGAAGGGAGTTCGCCTTTTGTTCCTTGCCGGAAAAAACGATCCAAATTTGCAGCGATCTCCGAATCTTGAAACTAAGGCCCGAAGCATTCCTACACCCAAGAGTCCAAATGGTGAAGCCGCATGCTTGGGACCAGCATGGCTCAACAGATGCTACGCTGAGCTTATGGACTCCTCCAGCATGGCAAGCCCAGGCGTGTCGTCCTCCTTCAAGACATGGAAGGGGAAGGGGACTTAGATGGCTTCGACAGCAACAGTAGGCTGTGAGTCAGAAAACTCCGAGAGTTTGGGCAGTTTAGGTGTCGGTACTCTTTGGATTCCTGCACCTCCTGCAAAAAGCCACAGCGAGACCAGAATCTGTTTGGCTCCTCATGGGAAGGCTCGGCGACAGCGCCTTGGGAATCCGAGATCGCCATGAAACTTGCAGTGCGCAAGTTGCCGTTGCAACTGCAATATCTTCCCCAAAACGCAACAGTTCCAAACTCGTCTCTAACATTTCGCAAAAAACCTTGTTGGGCAAAGACCTCTTTGACCTACAAGATCCCCAAACAGCAAATACACGGATCGGCCCTAAGTGCCCCTAAACTCTCCGATGCTAGAACTCCATGTCCACACCAAAGCCAACTTCTACTGTTGGCTCAGAAACATCACAAGATTCAATGCACAGCCGCGCGCACCTCATCCTCTAAGGTGACGGCACGGAGTTGCTTTAAGCTATGGCTTGCAGCTTCTTAGTCGTCCTACAGTTGTTAACCCAAACCTTGCAAACCGGACAGGCAACAACGGGGTTGATGTCAAGAACCTTAAATGAACAAAAGAGAAAGAGAAAGAGAAAGAGAAAGATAAAGATATAGATACATATATTTTAGTACCCCGATGTACCTACCATTTTTGCCTAAGTTTCAATGCACACTAGCTTGCTTCCAGGGAAGGGTGCAGGACTATTCGGCGGTAGTATGCTGGGCACTCAGAAACATGGTTAACCACAAAATCCATGAATTCCAAAGACTTCATGGTTTCTATTGGTTGTACGCATGTTTTCGTAGAATCGAGGTACAACCTGAAAAGTGCATAAATTTGGTGATCTGAGACGCTCTCCCAGTCACATGGTTTGAATCCATGATGTTGTGTAGATTTTGTTGGTTTTACCCATGTTTTCGTGTGAAAACAAGAAAATCGTAGGAAAACCGAAAAACCATGATTTTCCTAGATTTCGTGGATGTCATTAGTTTTGCAAAAAAAAACTGTCGGATCGAGCTCGAACAACATTGGCAAAACTAATCTTGTTCAATTGTTCCAGTAGTTGTCCTTCACCATTTTCCCGCGGGGCTCTCAATAGCTGTCCCTGAAGCCGGGCGACGTCGCCAGGCAAAGCAAAGCAACCGGAAAAATGGTAGGTACATGGGGCGGGGCACCATATCTATAATTATCTATATACATATAATATACATATATGAAGAGAAAGGTCTCAATATGGTAGCTTCACACAGGTTCCTTAACCGGGAAAAGAAGCTACTCGCAACTCTCTGCCAACGAGTCGCCCACGCCGAGGTGAGAGCGGAGCCGGCTGAAAGTCTCCCGCCAGGATCTTTCCTCCCCCCCCCCCCCCCAGTTGTGTAAACTGCTTAGGGTTTAGGGTTTTAGGCTTTAGGGTGTTACGATTTTACGAGCTGCACTCCCCAAACTCACCTGCGGACTCAACCCAAAACAATGCCCGAGGCATCCCGAAAGCGCATCCCTAAACCCTATCTGCCAAGGCTGCTTGAAGTCATCCCCGGCCCTTGGGTTCACTGCGCTTCTGGGATCCCAAGACATTCTGCGCAAACCCCGCGAGGGGCGAAGGCAGGTGCATTTAGGTGTGAGGTTTGTGTTTATGTGGCTTTCTTGGGCTTCAGACCCTTGCCGGCCTTGTCGTTGTAGCGCCGCTCCATTTCCTCAGGGTCCGGGGCGCAGGGCATACGTCCGCTCGTTGGGGTGTTCTCGCTTCTCCGGTTTCTGCGTGGCACTTAAGGGTGCCAAATCAGGCTCTCTCCCACGTTTTTCGCATGCGGTCGGGGACGTTATCATGGGTTTCAGGTCATGACGAAGCGCTGCGCCTCGTTCAGTGGGCGCCCCTTTGTCTTTACAAGGGTTCGCGACATGTCTGCACGCGCGAAGCTGCAGCACTGCCTGGCTTCTACCCTAAAATGCCGGTGAACCAGGAACCCAGAGGCCCAACGGTCGATGTTAACTTCATTCGAGGGCTACCAAGCCCAAAACCTAAACCCAGCCAAGACAACCAACCGATCGTCCAATCCTTAAGACCTAGAGGCTAAAACCGGTACACACAGTACACGTTCCCTGAATCGAGGAGTCCGTGGCAAAGCGCCCCACAACCTCCAAGAACCCTTCACCGGCCCTCCCAAACTTCCCAACATCTGGCCAAACAATGCAGGGAAGCCCGGAGGCGCTCGTTGAAGTGCCGCCGGAGGGTATCCAGCCTCACAACAGGCGGCCATCATGAAATACCCTGCAAGCTCTGCGCTGCTGCTGTCTGGTGCGCTTGGCAACGTCTTCGCAACAGGTTCAACTTACAGGATGCGCTTTTGTTCCAGCCGCATCGTGCTGCAAGACACGTGTCATGCGCTTGAAGACGCAGTACTGCGGCGTGACGTGCAATAACAGCCGTGGTCTAGTCAAGTCCTAAAAGCATGATTTCGATTCTCTGACAAAAATGTTGCAAATCAGTCTTCGTGAATTGCGCAGGTGTGCCTTTCATCTGCGTCGTTGGAGCATTGATGCATCACTTCAAGCTCACCTCAGCTCTGGAAGCGGGAATCTGGGGCTCTGTGTTGTCGGGCTCGTACGGTTGTGGAAACAAGGGCTCACTTTGTCACCTTTGAGTGCAGTTCTTCAAGCTTTTTCCAAGGCTAGGAATTTCACGCAGCAGATGGACCGTGGACCGCACAAGACAGGACGAAGAGAACGTGCACATCGAGACCACGCAGAATCACATGTCCTATGTGCACCTGAAGCCCTTCTCCCTTGATCTTGGCTCAGGCAGGCCACTCTTCAGGAAGGAGTTCTCGTTCTGGAGGGTCTCCAGCTTCGTCCTGGCAGCTAGACTGCAACAGAACACCAAAGCGAGGCCATCTGCGGGGGCCCTCCTCGAGACATCCTCGAGAGCCACGGCTACACTTTCAGACCTGGCCAGCTAGATAGCAACCCTGTCCCAACCGATAAAAAGATGCAATTGTCCCATCTCTTTTGGCCTCGTCTCTTGAAGCAACTTCGCAAGCCGAAGAGTCTGCTCCTCGACTGAGGGGTGATTTGGGGCCGGGGAGGGGCTCATGTCGATGCGAACGCCTGAATCTTGAACCCTTGGATGTTTCTACATGTAACACTGTAATTAACACGTTTGACACATAGCTGTTGCAGCCGGTCTTGCGTCCGCCCTAAATCTCTGGCCGCCCCTCCCAGTGGCTCCTGGTAACTCTTCAGCTCTGAGTTCAGGAAGGCTGTCTCCTTCTGCGAGGACAAGGGGCTGCCATCGCGCCTGTGGTTTTCCAAGCTTGACACAGGAATCTGCGCTGATACTTGCAAGGCTTAAGCTATAGCTGAGGCCCAACAGGTCATTTATTGTGTTTTAAAGGAGAGGGGGTTCCTGGCGGGTAGGGGAAGAACCTGGGGAAGCTTCGGAGTAGTGGGGAGTATTAGGGAACCTTGGGTTCCACACCCCCCCTTTGAAATCCCCCGTCCCTTAAGAACCCTATAGACTCTCTGGCTGGTCAGATGCTTCTGCATCTCCGAGCGTGTACACGGCGAAAGTACAGTTTGTAAGTTGATCCCTCAGTCCTTTTGCATCTGCCCAACTTGAAACCGTAAACCTTGAAGGGTCCAAGTGTGAGAACACCTGAACCCTCAAAATGAGCACCCAGCGGCTCGCCCCCCTCGTCCCAGGGCGCTTTGTGTATCTGAGCGGGCTTCATGGTCTGAAGCACTACGGGTTTTCAGCAACATGTAGCAAAGAAGCATCTAAAGCTTCCACTCGTGCGACGAGCCATTTTAGGTCTTTAGGTTTACGAGAATTCCTGTCGGCTGCTATTTGTGGGGTTTCTGGTCCCTGGGCCAAAAACCTGCAAACACACGTTCTGCGTCAACTGAAGTCACCTCCAAGCTTCCAGAAACTGTCACGAGCTTGAACCCAGGATTCGGAACCCCATTCTCTGCTCTTCTCGCCCTCAGAAATCCATCGAATCCAAACCACTTCTGGTCGAGGCTCTGTCGTATCCAGCATTAGCCCTTTCAGCGTCACGGCTGGCCGCGACTCCAGCGCCTGACAGCCCACACCACAAGCATAGCGAATTGGGTGTAAATGCTCAAGCTCGCCACAGCCATCGCCGACTATCGCCACTACGCACGTGTCGAAAAGATCGGCTGGTCGCGGCTAGTCCGACCCGCTCCCAATAAACTCATCCGTCTCCTGACAAGAACCCAGCTCGAAATCAGAGGCATGGTGTGTTGCCATTCAAGTCCAATGGAGAAATACATGTATTTATACACAGATATACACATATATATATATATATATACATATTCACAATATATATATATATATATATATACACATGTGTGTGTACAGTGGAAGTCATGGAAGAGCCTCCTTCTTCCCGTCCGGTGTGCTTCGGAGTCGATCTTCGCCGTCCGACCTGCCACCTGACGTTTCAAGGGCGCAGGGCGTCCGCAATGCATAGGGCTTTAGCAGGGGGCCTTCCACCGAGGTCACCTGGACCAAGCCGAAGCCACAGGGCAAGAGATGCAAAGGCGAGAGGTGCGGTGCACAAAGCTTGTCGTGCAACCAGGCCCATACAACGAATTTCAAAGGTCTTTCTCGGTCACCGAAAATGGGGGCACAGCTTCAGTGTCGTGAATGGCACACCCTAGGCATCCCTAGGCTACCAACCGTACGAACCGACTTGTTTTGCGAAAGGGCTCATGAACGGTTCGGTTCTTGAGGAAGGGTACAGATTCGGTGCCGGGCCTTTCAAGAGGCCCGGCCTGGAAAAGTACCTTTTGGCTGAGAGTCTTCCGAGTCTGGCCCTGGAATTTTCGCTTCTAGGGTGGTAATTTCCTGGAGGTATCTATAGGTTATGTCGATTTGGGCTTCAAGCTTGCAGGGACTGCAACACGACTCGAAACGAACCGCATGAAAACTGCTCATCAAACGAACCGTTCGACTCGATTGCTTGCGTTTCTTAGTAGGAAACGCAAGCCCCCTGCGAGCGAACCGCATGAAATCCTGTCGGCGTGGTCCCCGAAGCCTCGGTGTCCAGCGCGGGCCTGCAGCCGGCGGTAATCGGACAGCGCAATGTTGTGGGACCTGAAAGAAGCGAAACAAGTCAGGGCATGAGAGGCATGAGAGGTAGAGCGTGGTGGAAGTTCTAAGTTCTGTACCTGGACTCCGAGGGGTAAAGGAGTAATGGAATGAGGACGAGGCGTGAGAAGCAGAAGACGGTAAAAATATATAAGTTCCAAGTTCTACCAGAAACCCCTCAATCACCCTTCTCCAAGAGACTTCGCCCGCCTCGATAATATCCCTGTGAGCCTACACCTCGGACCCCCGCACGCCGCAGGCCACGTGTACAATGGCCTTCCCCGTGAGCACCTGTGGCTCGAGAGTCAGGCTGAGGCAACTTCGGCTGCTGGACAAAGAGGTTCAGGGTTTCTTGAGGTTTTTCAGGGGTTTCCCGCCAACAGAATTCCAGCTGCGTCAGCGCCCTCTCTAGCTAGTGCTCAGATTCATATCTTGCATCAAGATCCCCTGTTGCAGCTTCATGAGCTCAATGTTGAAGCTTCGTGCGCTTGGGGCGCGGGGTGCATGACTGCGAGTTGTTGTCCCATCTTGGCCACACATGGATGCTGCTAACAGCTACTATCTTTGATGCCCGGCAAGAGAACTGTACGCAACATTTGCCCAAACAAAACAAACATTTCAAACAACCCACGCTAACAAGCCATACCCAAGCCCCTAAACGCTGGAGCGTACCAATGACTCCAAGATGCCCGACACGAACATCCCCAGTAGTCCAAAAACCCACAAAAAAAATTCCCGAGGTCTCCAAGCATGCGCCTTGATCATGGTCGGGACATTGGGATAGGCACCAGGCTCTGTGTGGCCATAGGTCCTCTATTGCGCATCTTTCCACTGTTTGCTTGGGAAGTGCCCACTTGTGTGCTCTAAAGTAGTGTGCCGGGTGTACTCTCTGTAGGTGCGTGGACATGTGGGGGGGGGGGGGCTTTTTCTTGTAGATTCAGATCTATCTACTCCGTTAGAAAGCTGAGGTGAGATGTTGGGAACCGAGGACAGTGCGCCATGCGCGCGGTGCTTTAGCGAGCTCCTGGCGCTGCCCCATGCCCAGACATCTCCAGTTTCCGTGACGGCTGCGCAGTGGCTGTGGCCGCCTTGGTGAAAGCCCCGTGGTAGCCCTGGTACTTGAAGCTGCAGATCGCCCCACACTGAGCCCCTTCCTTTCAGTGCTATAAGTAAAGGCCCAGTACAAGATCCCAGCAAGGCTTCTGGTTTTTCCCAAAGTGGGTCGTGGAGTTCGAGGAACATGAGGATTGAGGTAGAACCGGAGCCCAGGGGCAGGAGATCTGGGCAACGGCCACATGAGACAACGCGGCGACCTGCCGCGGAAGCATCTCCTTGGCAGGTCATGGGTGTGCACACGAAGCTCGGGAGGTGGGAGTGGCGAAAGCGGGCATCTGGAAGGACGAAGGACAGACCCCAACCAGCTTTGTACCCCAAGCACTGCGACTCACATGCCGAACCGCAAAGGCCAAGCTCCTAGATACCGAGCCCGAATCACAAGAATTTTGGCCTTCTGCAATTTGCAATAGATTCAGGATTTGCCTTGAGGACTTTTGAGGCGCGCATGGGTTCAGGGCGCTTTGTCTGGCTTGTACTTGGGGAACTCAGCTCGCGCCGACGATTGATAGTGCCATGTCTGTTACGAGTATGGCTCGAGGGTGCTAGGCTGACAGTCTTGGTCAGGAACCCTGTTTGGAGGGCATTTATCCGTCTGCGACGATTTGCGGCTCGTCAAGCTCGCCAGTCTCGCTTGGGTATGCAGAATGATGCATGTAGTACACAAGCTTCCGGCTGCCCAGCAGAAGGGGAGGAGCTTGACGTCTGACCAATGGCTCAGGGCACCGCGCTGATGTGTCCATCCACCGTCACAAAGGGGCCCAGCCGCTTCAACGGCTCAGCTCGAGAGTACCACCAAGACTCAGCCAAGATGGTCCATCCAGCATCCAGGAGCCAACGCCGGATCTCCTTGTGTATGCTGCGGGTGTGCGTGCTGACGTGAAGCCGGTGCACCCGGCCCGCCAGCCAACCGGCCAAGCCCTGAAGCAGGCCACGCTCGGCACCTTGCGCGTCGATGTCCACCAGGTCCCACTTCGCCGAGTGCGTCGACAGCAGACTCCTCAAGTCCTTCGCTGTGTAGACCGGGTCGGTCTTCAGCTCGACCTTACATCGGCCATCCGGGAGATTATGCAGCATGTGCCTTCTCATATCAGAGCCGTCCCCTAGATCGAAAGGCTCCACCAGGAGGATGTCGCAGGAGGTTTCGGGCGCCAGGCGCAGGAATGCCTTGGCAGCACGGACACCCCAGATCCCAAAGCGTCCAGCACCGATCTCCGCCACTCTGAGGCCAGCTCTGGGCCTGGAGGCGGCAGCCGCGGCCGATGTCAAGACATCTGCCCACTCCAAGTACTCTTCGTCCAAGATTGGCCAATTCCTCAAGGGCTTTCCAGCTCTTGCATAGAGGCACTCCAGAGACCTGCCGGGTGCCTGGAAAAGGTGGGGCTCGCCAATCTCGTCAAGATCTCCACACGCGGCGCGAAAAGTCGTGCTGATGCCCAAGAAGTCCATGACCTGACCCTCCAGGGCTGGACCCTGCACCGGCGGAAAGCGTTCGAAGATGGGTTCGTGAGCTGAGCCGCAGTCCATTCTGAAAACGTTGGGAAGGCATGCGTTGCCAGCATCGTACAGAAACTGCCAAATCTGATGCCTCGCTGCGCGCAAGGATTTAAAGATTCCATCTATGAAGTCCTCTACGTTCTTGCCATGTCCCACGTCCTCAAGGACATAGCCAGCGTCCTCGTCCACCAAGGTCAACATCGCGTGTGCCTTTTGCCACATGGCCATCTGCATCTGACCCAAGCTATGATGAAAGATCGGGCGGAGCTCCTTGAGAGCCCTGCCTGGCAAGGCCGGGCCAGCGATCTGAAAGGAGAGGTTCCGCAAGGCTTGCGCGTCGTACCGCAGGGAGGCCAGCATCTCCCTTTCCATGCGCCGGGACTGCACCCAGTTCTCTCGCAGTTTCTTGAAGCACTGGCACGCTCTCAGACTCGCGCTCCGGTTCCGCCGAGAAAGCTGAAGGGCCACCCGAGGGAGATGGATTCCGTGGCGACTGCGACTCAAGGGCTGGGCCGACTCCGTTGTGTCCTCCGTTGCCTCACATTGTGTCCACAGGAATGCAGGCTCCGACACGTGCCTGAGCCAGGCGAGGCCCTGTAAAGTGTCCCGGAGCTCGCCAACACTGCAAGCTGGGCTTGCAGAAGTTGACAACGCGCCCGTTGAGAGCAGGAAAGTGGCAAGGGGTGCGAGCATAAAGCCATCAGCTAGAGTCTCAGAAGGGCTCCGGTCGTTCTGATGTTAGGGTGCGGTTTAGGGCCTTTGTTTTGTGACCTTCAGGGTTGGGCAGTGCCTGTGTAGGATACGATGATAGCAGTAGCTGTTGGAGTTGACGTCGCAGTCCACCTAGCCCGCCTTCAACAGCCACATGTACCTCATCGGTGAGCTCCGACTCTTTCCTAAGCCGTAGACTGCTTTAAACGGATTAGGGCTCTTGAGCCATGGCGGCGTGGAACTGCGCTTCTCATCGCGACTGCCGTTTGCCTTGCATACCAAGTGCCGTTGACTTAAGTTTCTGCAGATCCTCAGTAAAAACTGTGGCACGTAACTGTTCATAAGACCGTCAGGCGACACACATGGCTCTCACAGTCAAGTGCCGAGCCGATGTTCAGCAGGATGTTTTCTCAGGAAACAGGCAGACAACGTCTGCATGCCAAGGCGGCCACTTGGGTTTATTGTTCCGATGGCGTTTTCTCAACTGACGGGCCTGAGCTCCCCGAAACCATCCTCCCGACGTGAAATCTTAATGGGGATGATACTCGGGGGTACTATAATCCCGATGAAGGACTGTTCGTCTAATATCCTAACCCATGGACTTCAACCGTCCGCTACTAATTCTCTCTACTTGCTCCAGGCGGCATCGACCTCAGCTCCCTGTGAGGCGTGGCCAAGGCGGCCGGCCTGGTGTTCGGTCCATGTCTTCACGCCCAGAACTAACGATCCACTTGGGTACTTATTTGCCAAAATAAGGGTGCCCCGTTTCTACCCCAACTAGTATAGAAGCCCTTAAAGGAACCCTGAAAAGGGTACCCCTATTCCAAGACAGGCACCCATCTGTCAGTTTCAAGGGAGACCCGACTCGACCTCATACCCGAGGCATAGCCTCGAACTTCTTCACCACCTTTGAGAACCCTTTACAGGGAGCCCCTATCACCTCATGACCTGTCTCTAGGGGCACCCCAGGCAAACTTCCAGTCACTTCCTGCCCTCAACGGGCAAATGAGTCTAAGGGGTCGACGTGCACCCAGAGTGCGTCGTTTGGCCGAGAACCGTTGCGGAACTCATCTCCCAGCCTAACTCATGATAAGAATTCTATCCGGAGCAGCTTGAAATCATCCGCCGGACCTCCAAGGCTCCATTACCTGAACCATTCAATCCCAACATCTGAAATTCTAGTTGGGGAAGGAGAGGGGGAGCTGCCTGGCCCCAGGTGAAGACCTCCCCTCGCTGGGTCAAGGCAGCGGAATGGTGGGGTCCTTTGCTGACCGCCCAGGCGCAGGCATATGGTTTCCGAAATTAGGGGTACCTTATGGGGGGGGGGGGGGGTTCCTCATAATAAGGGAATCCTACTATGTGGGGGGGGACTGTATTCTCGGGGTCGCTTATTTTCGAACACCCCCCTCTTGGCTCTGAAGACTCTGAAGTCAGACAAGTCCCTGGACATGTAGATCGGCATCACAGGCTTTCTTTGCGATTGCAAAACCTGAAGTATCCACGCTCTTGAGTCAAGGTGCCAAGGGCCACCTGCACCACACGCTTGCCTCAAGGCCAACGGACTCAACGAGCCTCACATCTTATATGACCTTTTCTTGTTGGTGATATTTTATGAGCTGTTAAATCATTCGTTGTCAAGCCGCTCCGGCACAACATTCCATCTTGTACTTTTTGCAGAAACTCTGCAATTTGCACGCGCAACATCATGGTGCTGTCGCCATGTCATCGCGAAGACACACTCAGCAGCTGCTCATAGTCCTAGAACGACTGGCTACCCGCAGAAAGGCCCATCCTGCCTTGCAAGGCGATGACCACCTGACCATGGGATGCTGCATGCTATGCACAGCCTTGGCCTATAAGGCTGCACGGCGTAGAGCTTCTAAGAGCTGCTTGAGTCTGCTCCTGTCTGGTCGCAGCTTGCACCCTACACAGCAATGGCTTCTGCTGCTTGGCCTTGGGCGTTGTTTGTGCGAGCCGATTGCCGTGGCCCAGCTTGCCAAAAGCTCCTGCAAAGAAAGCCAGATCCCAAGCCCGAAACACTGACGTCGCGTTGGCAATCCAGATTTGCAATGCCCTGTCATCACTTTAAGGCCGGCCCTCACGAAGCACGCAAGGCTTCAGAAGGGCAAGAGTGTGGTCCTCCTCCCCAGGTCATCACCTGCGCGAGTAACCAAAAGCCAACTGACCAGCACGCCCACGTCTCATACAAAACTCCAAAAATCAAGCAATAAAACGTGCCATGTTCAAGAGGTGTCTCAGTCAAGACAAGGGCTTACTGAAGCTTGCTGGATGGCGGACGAGCTGCGGCAGTGCTGAGGCAGTTTGGCCCGTAATCTAGCAGACGCGGGCACTGCAGGAATGGAAGGCAAAAACAGATGATGTCCAGCTCAACAATGCTTTAATTTGGTACCATGATACCAACCTCAGGTAGCGATCCACCCAAGATGTAAGTCGCACCCGGACAGCATGGAGTCAACCCAAAGCTTCAATGTGTGCAGAACTTCGGTTAGGGGCCGTCAGGGTCTTGTAGCATGTGTGACCACACCTGGCACTGCTCGCCAACTGCTGCCGTGTGGTGGCCGCCGCAAGCCAGTGCAAAGATCTGCGGAAGCAAGGGTTGTGGCAGAGAAACGTACAACAACACTACAACATCTGTAAAGAAAAAACCGAACCACCGCATTCGCTCTGAAACATCGGCTCAAGAGCCCATGCCCTGAAAGCCGAGCGGCCTATGCCCCTACATTTTGTGCTCCAGCAGAAACAACCGGACTCCGAAGAAAAGTCTTCGAGCCCACTGCACCTGCATCCCGGTAAAAGCCTCCACAAAGGAAGGCGAGTACCTGCAGGACATGCTGCCAAACAGGCAGCGTTCTAGCGTGCTTAACTTGATCTCAAGCATCTTGGGGGGACTTACCACAAAGGAATCCGATGTACGCCTGTCAAAGCACGTGATCACAGGATTGCCGCGAAACGGATACGGCCATGGGCGAACTGCTTTCTTGGGTCTGCGACATCAACGCGCAGTCCTGTCGGATTCGTCGCCGTGTCCCAGGCGCCCGGAGAGGCCCAGGCCCCAAGTGTAGACCTTTAAGAATCCAGGATTTTTCGCTGAAGCAGGCCAGGATTCTGGATTCTGTTCTATCCAGGATTTTCGGGTTTCAGGATTTTTGCTTAGGGTTCAGGGATAAAACCGTGAAAGTGCTCTGCAGAGTGTTGCGAGACGTTTGGGCCGCCCATCAATGCGATTCCTGAATCCCACGCTTAGCTCCGACCGGACTTGATAATTCAAGTGCTCCAAGAGCCGCAACGAGCACCAAAAACCTGCTTGCAGATCGGCGGCGTGCGGAGCACTTTGCAGAACGCACGCCTGGGTACACAAATGCTGAGTGTGAGATCTAAGGCTGAGGGCTCACGAAAGTTCACGCACCAGTCTTTCGGAACCTTGCTAGTCGCACCCATCATGTTAACCCCCTGGTCCTTTCTAAAGACTGGGCGACTCAACGACTGAGACTCCCAAGCCTTAGCTTAACCCTCCAAAAGCCCTGAATCCGAAATCATCCGGACTGTCAAAGGGGCAGTGTGGAACTCGCCGCAGGCCACGGAAGCCACCGCGTGGCCGCTCAGCAACTCCACGGCCTATTTTTCAGAAGCCTAGGTGTTCTTACTGTAGGGCTTTTAGAGGGTTTCTTTTTTTTTTTTTGGGGGGGGGGGGGGGAGGGTTCTGCCGGATTTCGAGCTACTGTCTTTAAGAGTTAGAAGGGTTGAGACGGGGGGGCAAAAAGCAGGGGGGTTGAGGGGCAGAGTACTCAGCAAAAGAAGGCTCGGGACGTCGGCGCACTTACAGATACTTCAGCTCACGCTCAAGCCATGCCACACTGCACCACTTGCCAGTCCCTACTGTCTCCTGTCACACGCCCCAGACGCAAGGACCCAAGGCCTTCGGGAGCAGCTCGTTGTCTGTTGAGCCGTGTCCCAGGCGACCATTTTGGCCTGGAGCATGGGATAAACGCCGAAGAAAATGTACTAACTGCTCGCGCATGAAATTGATATATTTAATCGCCATAAGACTACTGCGGCTACCTCCGTTCTAACTTTACATCGCCCGGAATCCAGCACAGAGCAACCATATCATCCTGGAACTTGGAGCGGCGGGAAAACTGGACTAGGTCTAATCGTAATAACTCTACCTGCTCTTGGCGCTCACTCTTCTCTCTCTTCTCTCTCACGCGATTATTTATTATGTATTCGTGCGCGAGCTCACGACAGTGATAGCAACGTGCGTGCCTGTCTGCAGATACAAAAAAAAAAGAAACTTGCACATTCCGTGCACTGTACGCACAGCCGTCGATGAATACCGAGCTAGGGTGGCTTGGGGTCCGCCTCGGCCCCAAGTGAAGAGCGCCCCTCCTTCCGACACAGCTGCCGCATGGTGCTCCCCGCAGGAGACGCTGCGGATGACCTCAATGGGTTGGTCGGAGGCTTTGGAGTTTGCTGGCGTTTGTTGCATCAGCCCACCCCAAAAACAAACTCCTGCAGCCCAGCTTGATGCCGTACTGTCAATCAACTGTAGCTTGCCACCTCCGCTGGATGTGCAAAAGTTACGCAGTCTTGCAGCCTAACTTTCAGGAGTGAAAAGCCTCCAAACCCCTGCTCCTGCGACTTATCGAGGGACAAAGCTCTTTGCTGGGCCCTTCCTTCCTTCCCCGCACATAACCCCTGTCATGGGGCTCGCTCGCTCTCTCGCTCTCTTTATTTCTTTCTTTCTTTGGAGCATGGAGCAGGGCTCCGCGCCGGAGCGCGCCCCCGTCTGCACGGTCCGAACCCCTACCACCCGAGAGAGGGGAGCCGATATTCGGTTCCACGCCTCTCCCTCTCCCTCTCCCTCTCCCTCTCCCTCTCCCTCTCCCTCTCCCTCTCCCTCTCCCTCTCCCTCTCCCTCGCACATGCGTGACCAATCCAGAAGCCGAAATTCACTCAACCATTCAGATTAGATTATATTTTGCGCACAACTTTGATGAACTGATCTGATCTATGCGGATTTCCACCAAGTGGGCTAAGAATCTCCAAGCTCTCTTGACCTTCACGGACTGAAACAACACAGCAGAGGGACCTTCGACTGCAAAGACCGCAAAGCTCGCGGCATGTGCACGTCCTCTAACGCTGACAGATTCTGCACAAGACTTGTTGGGGTTTAGGGTTTAGGGTTTAGGGCTTAGGGCTTAGGGTTTAGGGTCCCTCCTACCTCCTAATTCCTAATCTGCAGACAACGACTCCTTGGTGTCGCCATGGCCGAGCTGGCCATCCTCCATATGACGACACGTCAGGGCTAGTGGCTCCGGGCTTTTGCTTGCTTGGTTGAGGGTCTTGGGTTCAATTTGGGAGGCGAGAAGATCACCTTGAAGAAATCTCGAAGCAGTTGTAGCTGCTGATAGGGGCTCCAGGCAATTTCCGCAGAAGAAAAACCTGAAATCTGCCCAGGTGAGCTTCAATGAACGAGTCTTGTGCCAGCTCGTCCAAACAAACAAGCCCCAATCCATGCGCAGCAGCACCTTGCCATAGCCCCACATGTAGACCTCGCCGCCCTCGGTCACGGCTCCAGAGAAGTTGGCACCGCAAACCACCTCGTGACAACCACGAAGGTTGTCTACATTCGAGAACAAAAACAAGTCAACACGTGTCTATCCGAGCTCAATTTGGCAGCCGAAGGCGCAGCATGTTAAACAACACTTCCATGACTCTGACAAGAAAGTGCCGATGACAGCCGCAATGCCCCCACCCCGGACCTGCAACCCCTGCAGCCCAAACCCCCGAACTCAGTCCCGAGTTCGCCAGACCCTGAGCTTGCCCCCCACCAGATGAAAAGTAATTCATGACATGCTCTGAGAACGAAGAGGCGAGGCCAAATGAAAGGCATGGACAAATCAAGAGTGCCCAATCAACGCGGCCCCGAAGATTAGCCCATTCAAAGACCCAACAGCATATCTTGACCACGCAACCACGACCACGACACGCGACGGCACTTCCAACAACCAACACGCGACGGCACTTCCAACAACCAAGCAACCATGTCGCGTACACTTCCAAGAGCCCTGCAGCCACCATGATAGGTCAACTTCCAAGAGCCGGCCCACCGCAACGGCTCCATTACTTTTGGGGGTTTGTGTGTTGTGTCGGCGGGTTTGGGGCATCGAGGCTTGACCCCTGTCGTGCTGCATTGCTCTGGGTTTTGGGTGTTATGTCGACTTGTTTGGGACATCAAGGCTTGACCCCCTTGGTGCTGCGTTGCTCTGGGTTTTGGGTGTTATGTCAACTGGTTTGGGACATGGAGGCTTAACCCCTTTGGTGCTGTGTTGTTTTGGGGGGTTCGGTCCGGTGTTGTGTGCAAGGGTTTGGGACATCGAGTCTTGACCCCTTTGGTGCTGCATTGCTTCGCAGGTTTGGGTGTCGCGTCGGCGGTTTTTAGACATCGAGGCTTGACCCCTTTGGTGCTGCATTGCTTTGCGGGTTGGGTGTTGTGTCGACGGGTTTGGGACATCGAGGCTTGACCCCTTTGGTGCTGCATTGCTCTGGGGGTTTGGGCGTTGTGTCGACAAGTTTGGAACATCGGTGCTTGACCCCCTTGCTGCTGCATCGCTTTGCGGGTTTGGGTGTTGTATCGACAGGTTTGGGACATCGAGGTTTGACCCCTTTGGTGCTGCATTGCTTCGCGGGTTTGGGTGTGGTGTCGAAGGGTTTTGGACATCGAGGCTTGACCTCTTTGGTGCTGCATTGCTCTGGGGGGTTTGGGCGTTGTGAAGGCTGGTTTGGGACATCGAGGCTTGACCCCTTTGGTGCTGCATTGCTTTGGGTTTTGGGCTGGTTTGGGACACTGCATTGCTCTGAAGGTTTGGGCGTTGTGAAGACTGGTTTGGGACATCGAGGCTTGACCCCGTTGGTACTGCATTGCTTTGGGTTTTGGGTGTTCTCTCGACTGGTTTGGGACATCGAGGCTTGACCCCTTTGGTGCTGCATTGCTTTGGGTTTTGGGTGTTATGTCGACTGGTTTGGGACATCGAGGCTGGACCCCTTTGGTGCTGCATTGCTCTGGGGGATTGGGCGTTGTGAAGACTGGTTTGGGACGTCGAGGCTTGACCCCGTTGGTACTGCATTGCTTTGGGTTTTGGGTGTTCTCTCGACTGGTTTGGGACATCGAGGCTTGACCCCTTTGGTGCTGCATTGCTTTGGGTTTTGGGTGTTATGTCGACTGGTTTGGGACATCGAGGCTGGACCCCTTTGGTGCTGCATTGCTCTGGGGGTTTGGGCGTTGTGAAGAGTCGTTTGGGACATCGAGGCTTGACCCCTTTGGTGCTGCATTGCTCTGGAGGTTTGGGCGTTATGTCGACTGGTTGGGACATCGAGGCTTGACCCCTTTGGTGCTGCATTGCTCTGGGGGTTTGGGCGTTGTGAAGAGTGGTTTGGGACATCGAGGCTTGACCCCTTTGGTGCTGCATTGCTCTGGGGGTTTGGGGTGTTGTGTCTGGTTTTGGGACAGCAAAGCTTGACCCCTTTGGTGCTGCATTACTTGGGGGTTTGGGCGTTATGTCGACTGGTGTGGGACAGCGAGGCTTGAACCCTTTGGTGCTGCTGGGCCTTGTGAAGACTGGTTTGGGACATCGTGGCTTGACCCCTTTAGTGCTGCATTGCTTTGGGTTTTGGGCATTATGTCGACTGGTTTGGGACATCGAGGCTTGACCCCTTTGGTGCTGCATTGCTTTGGGTTTGGGGTGCTATGTCGACTGGTTTGGGACATCGCGGCTTGACCCCTTTGGTGCTGCATTGCTTTGGGTTTTGGGTGTCATGTCTGATTTGCCCTTTGGTGCTGCATTGCTCTGGGGGTTTGGGTGTTGTGAAGAGTGGTTTGGGACATCGAGGCTTGACCCCTTTGGTGCTGCATTGCTCTGGGTTTTGAGTGTTATGTCGGCTGGTTTGGGACATCGAGGCTTGACCCCTTTGGTGCTGCATTGCTTTGGGTTTGGGGGTGCTATGTCGACTGGTTTGGGACATCGAGGCTTGACCCCTTTCGTGCTGCATTGCTCTGGGGGTCTGGGCGTTGTGAAGACTGGTTTGGGACATCGAGGCTTGACCCCCTTTGGTGCTGCATTGCTTTGGGTTTTGGGTGTTATGTCGACTGGTTTGGGACATCGAGGCTTAACCCCTTTGGTGCTGCATTGCTCTGGGCGTTGGGGCGTTGTGAAGGCTGGTTTGGGACATCGAGGCTTGACCCCCTTTGGTGCTGCATTGCTTTGGGTTTTGGGTGTTGTGTCGACTGGTTTAAGGACATCGAGGCTTGACCCCTTTGGTGCTGCATTGCTCTGGGGGTTTGGGCGTTGTGAAGAGTGGTTTGGGACATCGAGGCTTGACCCCTTTGGTGCTGCATTGCTCTGGGGGTGTGGGTGGTTTGGGACATCGAGGCTTGACCCCTTTGGTGCTGCATTGCTCTGGGGGTTAGGGCGTTGTGAAGAGCGCGTCCAACGCCGGAAGATTTCAATCTCAAGACGACGCAAACATCACTTTCACAATTCGTTAAAGCACATGCAACATTGACCCATTTGCTGATGTAGCAGCGTGCAGTGCAGCGTCACTTGTGCATTTGCGCAATGAGTCCAACAATGCTTTGGAAGTGCTGGCGGCAAGACGTGGAGAAGCGCGTCAACACAAACTGTGCTTCAAGGGTTTACGATGGCATCTTTACACGTTTGCATGTTGATAACCTAATGCTGAGGTGAATAAAGGCTATCCCCGCGAATACTTGGGCTGGCAACAATTCGGGCACAGCCGCGGAGCGCCAAATCGTAACAAGGCATCAGGGGTACTGACGTCGAAAAAGAAAAGGTTACAACGTTGACCTGTTGTTGAGCAACGGATTGTCGCTTGTTTCACGGTTGCGCACATGCATGGGACAGTATGTGCTGCTGGGAAATGTCCGTCATTCATATTATACCATTTCCGGTTTTTGCGGTCCTTCATGTCCCGTCAGTTCCGGAAATTTCCGTCTTTCATATTCCACCATTTCCGATTTTTCCGTCTTTTACGTTCCCTCACCCTTTCGGGATTTTGCCGTCCTTCACATCCCATCATGTTCGAAAGTTTCCGTCATTCATATTCCATCATTTCCGGAATTTTCCGTCTTCCTCCCGTTTTGGCCGACCGCAACGAGCTTGATCCAGGCCTCTTTTCTTTAGAGACTGAAACCCAACAGTATGTGCTGTTGGGAATTAGCAGCTAGCAGAAACAGTTGCTTGGCCAAAGAACCGACAGGCATCAAAAACACCCCTCCAACAAAAAAGAGAGCTCAGCCCTACGGTCCGGCGCCTGCTTCACGGGCACCGCACGGAGTCCCTCCAACAGCCGAGGGGCCACCGCCCGATCCTCTGCTGCGCGCTACCGGCAAGACCCGCCATGAGCCGAGAGTGCCGGTGTTGCCAAGGGCTTATAAAGCCCAGCACTACTGTGGAGCGGGTTTCTTGTGAAACTTAACTGGCCCAGATTCCCCAACCTCCCTACCCCCACATTCCCGTCCCGTTGGGCCTCGGCGGGCAAACTGCCCAGACCCAACTGGCCATGCTCGGAGGAGCCCCAAACCTCGGTGTTGCCATACCAAGGATTGCTCAGGGGCGGCTCATATAAGCCGAGACACAAAGGCGTCTCCTGACGCACCAACGACATCTGCAAAAGAAACGCTTACCTTGCCCTGCCCTTGCCCGCTTGCAGCTGACGGGGCTACCGCCCCGGCCGTGGTGGAAGACTGGCCCATAGCTGCCGGCGCTCACCGCGTCGCCAGGTGCGGACTGCAGCCGCGGGCCCATGCTCCAAAGCGGCGTTGTCGGTCACAGGGTCGAAGGATCCAAGTAGCTTGCAATGTGTTGGGGTTCTTGGGGCAAGGCCGAGTGTGGCGCATCTAAGATTTTGGGAGTGCCACAGTGCCGCTGAGGCCTTCGTTTGAGGGCTTCTTTAAATCTTTACAGCCCCTCTGAACTTAGCATTCGGGAGCCATCTTGCCGTGGTACAATCCAGTAACTAAGGGTTGCAACTTACGTACAGCGGCGAAGCTTTCGCCACTAGCTTATGGAGCCGGATGGCGTAGTTGCGGACCCGCCCTTCCTAGGAAGAAAGCTCATGCGGCTTGTCTTGACTGAAGGCCGCGTCAACGTCACATGCTTGCATGTTCTGTATGAAGCCACATGGGATGCGTCATGTTCGCCAACTTCTGCATATGTTGACTGTTGTTTGCTCAGAGACGTCGCCAAACGAAACAAGTACATACAGCGGCCCAGAAAGCACAGAAGATGCAAGAGGCGAAGATCGGTGGAAACTAATCGGAGGGCATCCACTTTGTCTTCAGAACCACAAGCCCACTGGCCTTCTGCTCTGCATTCCAGCGCCCGGCGGCTGAGTTGGGATCGACCTGACTGAGTACTGGTGCAAGCGCCGAGCGAGCTGTTGCAAGAATGCGCCAGCAGAGGCAAGTTACTCGACGGGTTTTTAGGGGCAGTGTCCGTTTTCGGGACCTTGCTCCCATGCCTTTCACAAGGGCTGAATATGTCAGAAAAGGAATGACGGCCTCGCATGCTGGATAACAAAGCCCCTCCTGCTTAGTGACTACAGCATCACCGAAAGATGACCCTGCAACTGCCAAAGAGTCTGGCATTATTAAGAGCTTCCTACACTCCGGTTGGACTCAGCCCCTTGCCCCAGCAACCACTAAGCGTTTCGCTGCCATGGCGGCCACCTGAGCGTTCGGCGAGTTTAAAGCTTTTGCCTTTCAACCTTTCTGTGATTGGAATTCCGGGCTTGTTCGGGGGGACAATGGGCAATTGCTGTTTGCCCCCAAGCTTTGATTATGCCTTCTGTCTAACCTGGCCCTCGGAACCCTCCAATGACCTCCAAGGACCAAGGAAAACATTGAAGCCTTGGGGCAAGATGAAGATTGGACCCGGAAACCTTTCAGGAGCAAACCGCGTTCAACGGGAGTCGAATTTCGTTTATCTGAGCTTCGGTTCTGAGGGCTCCTTCACAAGCCCCTAAACCTCAGACGCTAGCATTGCCATGGCAGAACCATAACATTGGGGAGCCCCGAGCCCCTTAGAACTTTGAGAGCCCGAACCCTGCACACAGCCCATTTCTACTGGCAGCTCTCCTGTACAAGGCTTCAGGTTTCGGGGGGGGACGGTCCTGGCCCGAGAGCTGGTGAAAGAGCACGCTCAGCCGGTCAGCCCTGTACATCTTCTGCCTCTCCATCCCAGTAGCCCTGAGCAAGGATCTCGACTGCATCGAAAATCTCAGCACACGCAGAATCTCCGAGAACCCAGCTGCTAAGTGTGTGAGTACAACACGTGCAGGCTAGGACAAAGCTTAAGGTAGTTCTGGTGGGGGGCGGGGGGGCGCTTCTGAGGGAAGCCAAGAACTCCTGCAATCCCGAAGCTCTCTGCGCAGGTGCCCTTAGCTTGACGAAAACAGTGTGGCCCAAATTGGACCTCCTCGCACATGTCGGAGTCCAGTTTTCCTGGGCTACAAGATGCCACACAGTTGTAAGAGAAGTAGAAAGCATCAAAGAGTGCGACGGAGGCTGCGCTGGCTTTGGTTGGGGCCCTTCGGTTTTTGTTTGAAATCAACAGGAATGTGGTGATTCGACTCTGTCCGACTCTGTCCTGTGGGTGCAACAATCTGGGGCCTTAGACAAGGTCACGATTGTAAGCCTCGTAGAGGCACGAAAACATCCAAAACGCACTGAATCGAGCTTGCGAGCACTGCTTGAATTATGGCCGGAGACGGCCGAAAACTCAATCCTCACTACCAGATGCCGCATGGCTTGCATGCACTTCAATCTGCTTAGCACCTGAACCTTATAAACATGTTGCTCAGGAAAGTCGCCGAATTCAACCCTCAAGACTCGTGCTCTCGTCTTTCCGCGCTGCAGCGAATCCGAGCAATCTCAGATTTAGGCTGAGCCAGGGGATAGAGAAACAAGCGATTTGTGCGAGTCCAAGCTCTGGATGTGCGTTCAAGTCCGTACATTGGCTCACTTTGCCTTGCTCATGACAGCTAGGATGCCAAACTTTAAGGGGCACAGCTGAAGAGAACGATGTTCTCCAGCATGATATCCGCCATTCAAAGCCGGACCCGCGGATGAAAGTAGCAGCTCGAGGTCGACTCAGTGTCTTGACACTCACCGCTGAAAGAGGTTTCACCCTCACTTCGTTAACGGCTGGCGCCCACTCAGTCTTTGAACTTTCCGGCCTTAGGCAAGAAGCAGGATCCCACGCCCGGGCTCACGAACTGAGATTTCCGCTTTTTTTTTTGCCAGTGGCAGACACAAGGATGTGGCAGGGAGAGGGGCACCTTTACGGTCAATGGGCGGGTTGGTTGATTGCTTGGCTGATGTTGACACCTGGGACCGTCCAGCCGCAATATAGGTGGGACCGGGTTGTTTTGGACCGCAATAGGGGCTTTTCAGAAATGGGACCAGGGGCAGTGCGCATAGTTTAGCTGCTCTGGGACGAGGCCTTCAGGCTTTCTGTTCTCCACGGTGGGCCCCTGATGGTTGATCAGTGCTGCTCTCCGTTGAAAGTGGGGATGGCTGCAAGCACCCCAAAACCGCCTGTAACAAAACGCTTCCATCAAAACCTGCGAAGCTTTGGGTTCCCGGCACCTTGGGACGTTTTTTATGGCTCATGCTTCATGGAATTCGGGGCATGTGGGGCCAGCCCCACCCTGTGAGACCCGCCTTGCACATGTTGATGAAATCCGCGTAGTCCTTCGGGGTGTCCGTCATGTTCAAAGCCGCGGCGACTTTCGCACCTCAGAACACTCAAGGGGAGCAGTAATTATGAAATAATTATGAAGCAATGGCACACCAGTTGCCCTGCTCGGTATCAAGGCTTCGAGCTGCAACGCAATTCGATCAAAAGTCAATGCTGTGCACCCTGAGCCCATTGGTGTGCGCAACAATGCGCCTGGGGGACTGCAGGCAGGTTGACCACATGCATACAAATTTCATCAGTTACATTATTTGCTTAGAGTTGGCATTGAAGGCCACATCTGCGACGGCAGCTCCTACATCCGCACGAAGCTCAGCGAACTCTGAGGCCCTCCCTCGGTTCCTTCCTTTTAAAAAGCGTCCGGCGCGTGGGCTTGATGACTTCAAAGCCGCGACCCGGAAACCCGAGGCTCTAAACCACTTTGAGGACGAGATGCCGTCCGCACCTTCCTTGTCCCAGGCCGCCTGGCTCCAGCTGAAGGATGCTTAAGTTTAAGAAGAGTTTCCAGAGTCCACGGCGTGGCCGTGGCAGACCGAGTTCCGCTCTGGAGCCGACTCATGCCTTTCAAGAGCGTAACCTTGGGTAAGCTAAAGAATTTCCTAGTAGCACCGTGAGGCAAGATGCCGTAAGGCCGCATGTTGGCCAGAGCTCTTCCGCTACCCTACAAGTAGGGAGTCCTGCCCGCTACCCCAAAAGCAAAACAAATCCAGGGTTTGATTCTCCACCCGCCTCCCCGTAGGCACATCAACCCTTCTGGCCTTGAAGGGGGCCTCGTCGAAGCCAGCACCGCCCTCCTTGGTCACCACCTTCTTCAGCTCCTCAACCTTTCGAAAACATTGTCTGAGAGTTTGCGGTACTGCCCTGGTGAACGCATGCGACCAGCGAAAATGAGGGAGAAGTGCACGAAATTGTGCGGGCGGGGAAAGCGCCGCAGTCCAACTACAGCCTGCTGGAAGGATGCATCCTTGGATTATGAGTGGTTCGAAGCAGCCTGTGCCTATCAAACAGCACATAGTGCTTTTAAAACCAGGCTCCTCGGATCCGTTCATAGCCCGCTCCCCGATGAAAGAGAATTAGTTTGAACAACAAAGCCAGCACAGGAGATTACATTCCCATGCAGCGGGCATAAACAGGAAGCTAGTCTCACCCCTAATTAACCTGAACTGAAAGAATCGCAAAGCCTTCTTGGCGAGGTCCGCATCCGAGGGGGGGGCCGACATACTTGAGGCCTGCGCCAGGTCTGTTTTCAGGTCTTGGGCAGGGCGGCTCCTGAATAATGTGCTGAATGTTCGCATGGGGGGAAGGGCCAACAACTATTCACCATTTCCTGCAGGGTAGCGTGAGGCCACATGCTGTTCTGAGCTCGAGGCCTCGCGTAGGGTCGAAGCTTAATCCCGAAGAATCTAAGACGTGCGCAGGAGAAAGGAAAAGGAGAGAAGAAGATCTTGAGAACGTATCTCATGAAACGAGGTACCTTCTAAATCTGAAAGAAGGAGAGAGTGGGAGGGAGAGAGAGAGAGAGAGCGAGAAAGGCAGATGGAGAAGGGAAGACAAACAAGAGGAGACAAGAAGAAGATGAAAGAAGCCAAAGACGAAGATAACAAGAAAGTTCGTTTTGCGGCTTTTTGAGCTTCAAGGCTGTCTTGCGATGGTGACCCGGAAGGGATGTCGGGGTGAGGGGTCCCCACGGAAATGATTGCAGCCGGGGAGTGGGTGTTTCGGTGGCTTTGCTCTCTTAAGCAAGTGAGCAGTAACTCGACTTAGAAGGCGTGTGAGTTGAGTTCCTAAGTGAGCGTATTCGCCGCTCAGGAGCGAATTAGTTGACTTAGTAGGTTGGCTTACATGGCTTCTAAGTCGAGCGAGCGCTCACTTGCTTAAGCGCTCTAAGCCATTTAGACGCTTAGCAACCTGCGCGAACTTCCGAGTAGTTTCGTAGCTCTAACCATGTAACTGCCAGCCAAAGGCCCGCCAGGCAGTCAAGTACAACCGTGTAATATGCCGATGGAAGAAATCTTGCACCACTTTTATGTATCCTTCACAAAGAGGTCGAACACGACAGCGTCTGGAACGAACGACCCAAATCTTGCATCACCCTAAATGGACATCATCTTCTTTTTTGCGCTCCTGTTTTCCGCTGGCGACGGTAATTGCACTTTTGTGCAGAGCGTCCTGTGGTTTGGCATGGTTATTTGCCATGGACTCCGAGCTTTAATCTTCTTGAGAACGACAGTTGAGCATAACCCCATCTCCAACATGGACCAAAAGTCACTATAGCACCAGTGAGATTCACGATCCCGCAACCTCGAAACTCCACCTGGTGTCATGCACAAACTGTCTGGGGCTGAAGGTCTTCGCATGTGCTGCACAGCGCTACTGCCCTTCCTGCCACCTTGCACCAGATAGACAGCAACACTAACCCCACAACATTGTACCCGTTACAGGCAGCGCCGGCTCCAATCCCACAACATCGTACCCATGAAACAAGGTAGCTTCCAGGAAGGTTCGCCTGTACATCTGAACTACAGCCAGGTAGGCTCTCACGACATCATTCGCACCATAGTGCATGATTGCTCAAAACAAAAATTAATATCCACTATTTAGGGTCGTTGCCAGTATACTTCTATTTTCATATCCAACCATTCATTTTATCTTCATGATAGGGAGGTCCGAATCTGACATAGTCCGGTTCTTAACCAACGCTATGTATAGATCCTGGAAAAGGTCTTGCTCTGACTTGCCAAGAGCAAGCACATGATACAACATGGAGCTTGCTTAGAGCAAGCACATTTAGAGCTTGCTAGAGCCAGCAAAACTCAACAACACCGAGCTTCCTGGGCCCGTCAATGGAAAAAAATCCCTTCAGGATAAAGCAAGTCAATCTCAAAAAGAAGCCGTGTGCATTGGGTCGATGGCTGTCGCTGCTTCATGTAGATCCTTCGCCACTTTCGTCGCTTCCTTCTTCTGCATCCTTGCCTTGGCTCGCGCCGCAATTTCGCCGACCTCCTGCAAGAGCGCCTGGCCGTCGAGCCAGCCAGCCAGAAGCCCTCCGTCCCCCACGAGAAGCTGCTGTAAGTCCTGGTTGAACTCCTCGATGTCGTCTTCGGTGCCGATCTTCTGAAGGATGGCCTCCTTGTCTGCAGCCCGAGATGCATTGCACTCCTGGACCTTCAGATGACTAAGGTTGCCGGAGTGTTCTTCGAGCACTTGCGGCGAGTGAATGACGACGTGCTGCTCCAAGTTCGACGCATGGGCCTCTGCGAGCTCCGCGACGCACCATGCACGCGTGAACAAGTTGAAGTCCCTGTCCACGGCTACGACTTGAAGAAAGCCTGAGTACTGGCGATGAAGATGTGCCATCATGTCGTCGAATTTGTTGAGCTCGCACTCACCTGGATGCTCGTTGAAGAATTTCGGAGTGCTGCAGTTGCACGAAGGCAGCACTTCTTTGGTGACAGTGTCTGCGACGCCCATGGAATTACCACAAATACTGGCGTGCTGGTTGATGCATATGGCGCAAAGCCAGTACTCCAAGTCCACTTTATCTTCGAGCTGCTCCTTGAGAGACTTCTCGTCGTGGTTCCTGAGCGACTCCGCAATCGAATCCCAGCGCTTTGACCCCAGGCCGTTGGCGACGACCACGGCCACCAGGTCACTGAAGCGGTTGGCCCAGTGATGCGTGACCATCCGCGGCGGCTTCGGATGCTTGCGGGGCTTCTTCGGCAGCACTTCTGCCAGGGACTTGCCCAGCTCTCCAACGCGAGACTCGGGGATCACTGCGTGGCGCACGACGTCATTGGTGGTGGACCTCCTGGGGTCGAAATGCGGCATCAAGTCGGAACCCAAGCGAGCGTGGAAGTCAAGCAGTTGACCAAGCGTGATTCGTCGGCTGGCCAATTCCGCGACCTTCCTGTCCCACGCACCCTGGTCAACTTCTGCCGGACGATCCGTCACATGCTCGTTGCGGCCCCTCCTTGGCTCTCCAGTTGAAGCCTTGGAGGATTTGCAAAGCAGACAAGAAGGGAGACTCAGGGACGCGGCAGAGAGAATCACCACACAAAATACGTTGCCGAAGGTGTCGGCCACAGCCGAGTACATGTACGCGTCATAAAACTCCTTCGTCACCGCCACCCACATGGTGCCCCAAGTGATTATGTGCCACGACATCGAGACGCCAGCAACCACAGTTCCTGCACGAGCACGCCCAATGACCTTCAGAGCGAAGGCCACTTCTTTGTCCAGCTGGGCATTGACTCCGTCACTGGCATTCAGCCCCGCTGCTGTCCGCAGCGCACGAACCGGAGGGGAATATGCCCGCCAGATGAGCACCGTAAACACGATGATCTCCAAAGCCCAAATGGATGAGAAAATGAGCGTGGGGATGGGGTAATAGTACGTAATCGCAAGGACACTGAGCATGATCATCATCAATCGGGACAGCCAAATGATCGACCGGGTGCCCGGTAAGGGTTCGCCCCAAGACCTCTCGAGGGCAAGCAGACGGTCGACGACAAACTGCATACACCACACGGCGCTCAGCATACCAGCCGATGTCCCGTACGAAGAGACCATCATGGGAACAGGGAAGTTGTTGTATGCATAGTCTCGCAGGCCGTCATTGTCCAGATCGGCCCCCTGACACGCATCGAACACAACACCCGCGGTCTTCAGGAGGACGGCCAAGAAGATGCTGATCGTGCATCTTATGGATTCGCGGATGTATTTCGAAGGCGGATGATCGGCCAGAGACATCCAAATCGCAATCACGGCGAGTACAGCATTCACAACGCTGAAGATCCAAGTTTGGATCCAGAACTCCTCAAAACGCATCCCGAAGCGGGTCGGCATCGCCGGGTCAAACTCGCGGCACCCCTCCTCCCCGCCGAAGAAAAGCCAGGGCATGAGCGCTACAAAGACCGTGCTCAACAAGATCATGACGGCCACAAAAAAGCGACAGGGCCAAGGCCAGGGGCTCTCCTCCTTCACGACGAAACGGCCCACACCGTAAACCCAAATTGCCAGGTAGCAGCCACCGAAGAGGGCATTGAAGAAGCAGAGACCAATTGAAACCACCAACACATAACCCGCGGCTGCAATCATGAGCTTCCTTTTCCTTTGGCGCGCATAAGCCGCCACGTCCTTCGCGGTCTGGCGCAGGCGTCCCATGGCTGCAACCACCCACAACAACCTACAACGTGGGTGGCGCCGACATCCACCCTACATCCACTATCCGTGGGAGTTGAGGGTGTCCGTAGCATCCCGATGCACCAGCCTTTCGCCTACTCATATATGGCTAGGACTATTGTGCCATCATGCTTGCCACAATTTTTATCGGCCATACTTATCACAAGAAGTCCATGACGTGTGAAATGCTCAGAATGATCGGAATGATCGAACGCACGAAGTCGGAGGACATGCTCAATCCACACGGAATTCAGCAAGGCAACAGTGCATCCAGGTGCAGGCAGGCGGCAGGGGCCCAGCTGGCCAAGGCAAGGATGGATGCTTCTTGATGCTGCAGGTGGCTGCAGAACCACCGGCAACCATGCTTTAAGGTTTGCAGCGTGTTCCTGTTAAAGAGGTAGAAGGGCCTCACCCCTGCACCCGAAAACGGCCCCCCAAGTCCCACAATTTCAATGCCCTTTCGTCCCAGCATCTGCGGCTCCAGCGTCGACCAGGACACCTGGCAAGTACCGCCGACGAGTATCCGAGACGTTCTCGAAAGAAGGCGACGCGTCGGTCGGGATGCTGTGACTCGACCCAGGAAATGCGGCTTCCGCGCACACTGCTCAGTGGACAAACACTATCTTCATGACAACTCAATGCAGCATCGACAAGTCTCAACAAAGAGAACAACCAGATGATAACCTCTTTTTAAAAAAATTCCGCAGCAAGTTCCAAATTCCAAGTTGATGACATGAGCACGTTTGCCAAGTTCGGCTGGGTTGCTTCTTCGACCATGTGTCCTGCTCCCGGTGAGTGACGCGGACACGCAGCTTCTGCCCTTTCAAGAGCTCGGCAATTGATGTTCATGAACAGAACATCCTACATTGAAAGAGTACACGGGCTTGGGGCACCTTTCCAGGCCTCGCTTCCGGCAATACGGAATATCATCTTTACCAGACACCTCTCCATCTGCAATCGAGGGCACTCGAGGTCGTCTGCTATTGTCTACCGTACGTTGGTAAACGGTGACGAAGGCCTCTTGGGGGACTCTTGAAACTCTTTGGGCGTGCGCCCTCTGGACCGCTGTGCCTGTGGACGTGCGGGCGCCGCGGAGGGAGCGCGCCGCCTCCTCGCAAAGAGTGACGCTCCTGCCATGGTCGACCGTAGACGATAGGGGATTCTTGGAGCGCCTTCTCCACGAATCTGGGGGCTCAAGCCAGGTCGAGGCTTTTTGTGCGGAGGGCTTGTGATGAAGCTCGGGATTCAGGTACCTAGCCAGAAGAGTCTTGCAAAGTGCATGCTGCCTGTGCTTGCCCCAGGCGCAGCCCACAGCCTTAGTGCCACCACTCGCTTTGCTGAAGTCGCTCTCATGTCGGCTGTTGTGGCTTATTTTCGCGAGGGTTCTCATGTCTTGTGAGCAACAGAACCAGAAGGCGCAGCCCGAGAGAGCCCTGAGCATGAGTCTCCCAAGTCAGAACCTCAATTCGTCTCTCAGCACTATAAACACTTAAGCCCATTTTCAGAACCTCAGTTTGAAGCAACCAGCTGCGAGACGGTGCCAAAAAGTCCCTTAAGCCGCGCTGCAAGCGTCACCGGAGCGCCGCCGCTGGCAGAAGCACGCTCCAGCGCGGAGCTTCGAATCTGCAAGGGCGTGTTAGAATTATGTAAATTATAAAGAATTATATAGAATTATCGGGAATATGGAATTACGTAGGATTGTACAGAATTATATAGATTTTTAGAGCTTGTGTGTCAGCCTAAGCTCTCCAACCTACTGGGATTCCAGGCTTTGCAAGTCCATCGCAGGGAACTCCGGCCCAGCCTCTTCAAGCAGCTCCGATGCACCATGGCAGCGCATCACCTCCACGCACCATCCGTGTTCCATTTTTTTGTGCCACCCGCACAGATGAAGGCCTTCAAAGCTACTTCTCTTGTTTTGTGAATCGCAAACTGAACGCTCACGAGTAATCCGCACAGCTTCTAGTGTCACTAAGTTCGTTGAAAGTCCGAGAACTCGAATGAGTTCAAACATGAAGAGGCCTGTCCGCGCGGGAGTGCCAAAGAGACTAAGCACAAGCGCAGTGACATGCTAAGACTAGTGCGCAAAAGCAAACAGCAAGCGAGACGCCAAACTGCAATGCCCCACTATGTGAAAGGCAGATCTCGGTTGGAGTCCAACAGCAAACCACGCCTATCAAGAGAGGACAGAGTCAAAGCTACCTTTCAAGCCTTTGGGCCTTCCAACCCCATCGCCAACTCAAGCCCCAATCAGTGAAGTGAAGGCCTGATTGAAACATGAGACAGCGTCTGCAGGCCAAACCCCACAAGTGCCAGACTTGGAAGGATTTGAAGTGGCCGGCAGCCGGCATGCCCTGGCCTCGGAACGGAGCCGCGCGTCCAAGCCTTCACTGCTCGCAAAGAGTGCCACAAGGTTGGCCAAGGGGGTGTTTGCAAAATGTTGTAAAGCATGCCGCAGCTCTCTTGGGCACGTAGCAGAAGAACATAGTGGCAGCCTACTGTGCAGACACTTCCTCGGTTGCCTGTGAGATGTCGTCTTGGACCACGATCCGGATTTGCGAGGCCTGGTGTGTGGGCGGCAAGCCAAGCTGAAGGAGGATTCCCTTGGCGACACCGCAAAAAAACCGTACTATCAGCCCTGCACAAACTGATACATGGCCTAGAGACATCACCGGAAGACAACCCTCGGCCGTAGGGTGCGCCACGATATGTGCCTACAGTGCTTGCAGTTTGGCCACGGAGCCGGACTTGCCCCAACTGAGCACTGTCGGAATGGCCTCGTGCATCGAAGTGCTGGTCTGCAGGCGGCTGCCCTGCGCCCCTGGGAGTTTCGGGATGAGTGCTTCTTAGTGCTTCTTCCCTCTTTGAGCTTGCCTAGTGCATGGCGAAGAAGTGTCTCGCGCATGAACCCAAGCCACCCTTCACCCATGCCCAGCGCATGCACAGCAACATAGGCGAAGAGGCCTGCAGTAGCCGAAGGAGATGAACTCCACAGAAGCTTTCGCGGGGTCTGCGACCTCTTCCTCCTGTTGCTCTGGGCTGCAGGGCATTTATGCGGCAATTCTGACAGCAACGTGTAGACGCAGGGAATGCAGCAACTTGGGTACTGATTCTCTGCGCATTTGGGATTGTTTGTTTTCACTCCGGCATAGTTTGGGGTTGAGGCTTTCAGCGCTGGTCCCGAACTGGAAAAGGGGCCAGAAACCAAAGCATGCCAAAGGTCCACTTAGACAAACCATCAACGTGCTGGTGCCTCCGAGGTGTGGATATGAGCTTGGGAAGCTTCGGAAGCTTCGGAAGCTTCATCACGGGCTTTGGGTGCATCCTCAGCGCTGTCCATCCCCTGACCCTCGCCTTCCTCCAGGGAGACCTGGCAGTGTTGAGAGTGTTGACAGCGAGCGCATGGGATGTACTTGCGTGAAGGTCAGCCTTCGACTGCGACGACTTCCCACGTACCGCCCCGCAAAGGTCGCCTGCAGCCTAACTTGCAGCTATTCAGGGTCCATCTCTTCCTGAGCCCGTCCTATCATGGCAGTATATATAGTCCCTCCTGCTTTTAGGGTCACGGGGTCTTGAGAATCATGGGGGTTTCTGATGGGTATTTGATGCGTATTCGGAACTGCGCTTGCAAGTTACGCCGACCGTAGGTCCCTCGAGTCTCTCAGGTCATGTGAGCATTAGCGGCATTAGCCTGCCAGTGCTTGGGGCAAAATCCAGAAAAAGAACTCCGAGTTCATCTCAACACCATCACTACAACCCTGCGATGGGTGGAAAAACCCACTGTCGAAACAGCTCGTTGGTTCGATATGTTACATTAGAGACCGGGCAACCCGAAATCCGAAGATATCCCAAGGACACATGCTAACAGCAGGGCGCGGACAAACGTCCAAATGAACTAACGGTGAAGCATGTAGAAGTTTACAACGTCATGCTCAGCCAGGAGCCCTGTCGTGTGCAGAGAGACTCGGCGGGCCTCGGCTTTCGTGGCCGCAGCTTTGGCGGCCGGGCCAGCAGCCTTGGCAGCCCCGTCGGCTGTCTCGGCCGCGCTCTGCGCAGGAGCCTTGGCGGCGGCCTTGGCAGCACTCCTGGCAGCACTCTTGGCAGCAGCCTTGCTGACCGCCGCAACCGGAGCTGGCCGCAGCACTCGCTCGAACTGCTCCTTCCTGGGCAGGGCGCGCAGCCTAACCATGCAATGCGCACAAACATATCAGAATCTGACAGGCATGTGGGGAGCAAGACGGGAATCTACGTTCAACAGAGTTCAAACGCTTGGACTCGAATGACCCGAAGTTTGCTCCATGTCTAGAAGTAAGCAGTGCAGCACCGGCAGAAGTAGGCCAGACTACAGATGACACATGACTAGGGTGCCAGGGAGTCCGATGGTTTCCTGCCTTCAGGATTCAAATGGATTCAAATGGTTTCCTGCCTTCGGAATTCAAAAATGGAGATATATCATTCTAAATTCGGATTCTCTCAACTATCATGGCTTGAACTTGCCTGGCGTTTAGAATCTAGAGGAAGGTACCGCAGCGTGAGGGGTGGTGAGGTGTGGCAGATCCTGGGGCGCTCTGCATAATCGCAGAGAGAGCCGCAAGGTGAGAAGCCACAGCAAGCGGCGCGAAACTCGGAAACTCGATGGAAGGCACATGCCTTGTGCTCGAGTTTGAGTGGCCATTGACAACTTGAGGCCAGTCCCAGTGACCTGCTGCACAGGTATCTTCTGAGTGAAAACTCACTGGTCCCGACAGCCTGCTTGATGCATGTATTGCGCAATTGGGCTGGCCAGAAACGATTGAAACAGTGAGCAGGGACAAGCTCAGAACACCGGCAATACATGGGATTCAAGACTTCGTGGTGTCGAGGTCACACTCGACATTATGAATGTTGTCGACTTAGTGCACATATTGCCTGCTTGAAGATTTGAGAGAGCATGCGCAAGGTTGAATAACAGATGCGCTCCGAAGTGTAGGCAGGTCCGCGTC